CACGCGTGCTCTTGATCTACTGTGACTCTGCTTTCTCACCCGGCGAGATGCCAACGTATGATTGCCTACTGAAAGGGAAATCACTCCGTCGATGTGAATCCTCTGCCGTCTACAGACAAGCAAAGAATTCAATGCTCTTCTATATTGCGCCAGCCGCCAAGCGTAGATGAGAGGATCAAGAGCAAACTTAAGGAACAACACATCATTGGAGAACAAACCTGCTAGGTGAAGCCTTAATAATTCAAGCCTTGTTAGATCCTTCCAGTGATACTGCAAGTAGAAAAAGACTGTTACAGGGAGGGAGCAAGAGATAACAAATGTAAGCAGTAAAAGATTGACAATAGTAAATTGTCTCTCTCTTCTGTTATTTCTATGAACACCTTGCCCTTTGCCCAAAAAGTGGTTGGCTTTCCAAGAGTGCAGTCTCCTCATCTGGGTTTTGAATGCTCTGTATAAACAAAAGTACCCTACGTTCAGTAACAAAAGACTTCCAGTCGTGTGGAAGTACAAGTCCATTTTTAGGAAGGCCGTTTCTGCCACTCTGCTTGCCGACAAAATGGCAAACATTACCGTGTACACCCAAGTTAAGATCACACTTGCTATAACTCGACTCTTCGTAACAAGCACTTTGTGCTTGAAGGGGAAGTTTATCGCTGTAAATTGACTCCAAGTAAACAACAGCAGAATTATGTAAGAGCTGTTCATTGTGGCTGCGGAAATGAAATGAGCAAACTGTCCTGCTTTTTGAAGTGATGGAATAATCGATGAATCTCGCCTTTTTACACTAATGTAAAGACAAATGTCCTGAAAAGCGGTTAACGGACATGCTGTAATACCTGTGAGAAAGTCAGCGACGGCTAAGCCAATCACAAAAAACGTATTTGGTGTACGGAAAGTTTTAAACGGATCCTTCCAAATCGCGAGCAGTAGAAGGCCATTCCCCAGGGCTGTTACTAAAGTCGCTACAACAAGAAAAACTCCTGATGCGATGAGCGAACCAAGATATATCTGGATGATTTGCTTTAAGTCTTCTTGAGTTTGCGAAGTAGTTGAGGAGTTCGTCATCTGTTTTCAAGTCAGTGATTCCTACCCCCGAATCAGTCTCTCATCCACTGTTAGGTTTCAGTCTTCACGCGGAATAGGCTTAAATGGCTAGTAAAAGTCTGGCAAGTGACGTTAATATGAGAACGAAGATACCTCTGGGTGAGTTGCTTCGGTATCGAGTTTGCGGAGAACTTGTGGAGTTCATTATCTGTAATAAATTCAGTGATTCGTACCGGAGTCAGTTTTTCATCAACTGTTCGTTTGCAATCTTCAGAATGGGTTTAAAATGGCTATTAAAAGTCTGGAAATTGACGTTAATTTGACAGGAAAAGCTGACTTCAGCAGCTGTGTGTGTTTAAATGAAAGATTGCCGATTAAAAGTTGGTAAACCTTTAATGCTGGAGTAGTGATGAATCAGGCATTTTCTTGCGTAATTCTTTTGTCTGCTATGTAAACAAAGCCAAAAAAAAAGGAAATGTGAAGATACTGAACTTTAAACATTTACTTAAAGATAAAAGGTTTTAAGGCTTCACTTTATAAGAAAGACAAAAAATCGACGGGATTTGCCTGAAGGACGTGTTTTCGCTTTCATCTTCATTGCTAAAATTACAGAATTACCCCCAAAAGCTGATTCCGATTCTGGGAGGGGGGGAGGGTTGGAATTTTTAAAAAGTGGTTTTGAATCTCTTGCAGGGCCGTGTTGTTCGATTCTGGGTTTAGATAACCCAGGGATATTGTGAAAATTAGATTCAGATAATTAACTGAGGAAGCTTAAAAGCAAATTCACATTAGTTCTCTCATTTGATGATTGGACGTTCTAAATCGGCTCTAAAAAGAATAGAATACGTTAACCAAGAAAATGTTTTTGAGCAAAAGGAAATGATACCAGAATTAAAATTTTGACACATGTTAGCACTTATGGGCCTTCTAACCCAGTGATAAATAAAAACTACATGATATTATACGACGATCTTACACTTCCGAAATAACTGCAAGCCCGAGAGGATAGTTCTGTGGCAACGAAGTAAAGCATTTTACCCCAGCGCTTTCGGCTTTCGATTCCGAACCATAATGATGTATCTTTTCTTTAATTGCCGGAAAAAAAATGTTCACGTCGTTCCTTTGACCAGCTGTAAGCTGTTGGTAAGTAAAGCCTCCAGTTTTTAGTGCCATTTGAACGACTGAGTTCGCCCGTGAATTCTGCCCGCCAACATTTTACTTTTCTTGATAGTTTTCGTGATCAAAAACGATGACCCAAAGTAATATTGCGACGAAAAATTAATGAAATCACCGTTTGGGAATTTCTGATTTTTTTTCTTAGTCCCAAACGAATCATTGTTCTTTTTTTTTTTTTTCAGACTCTTTGCAGCCTGAGATAGACTATTAAATGTTACAGGGGTACAAAAGTAAACATTTGATTTTGGTGTATTTTTTGTCGGATTTGTTAAGAAAAACGTTTTGCTTTCACTTGTGAATTGAATACCTGTTCGCCGGCTTTTTCCTAACAAAATTTTGGTGATAATCGATTGCTTTTTGCTACAATATATTACGTCGTTAGAAGAATAGTGTCAAGGTGTTTAAATGGTGGATTAGTTTGACATAAGGCCTCTTTCATTTACAAGAGTGAAGTGCTGAAAATGGGCAAGACCGCGAACGTCAAATAACTAATAAAGGTAAATATTATATTTCCCTTACACCTTTTGAAAAAAATTTTTTTTCGCTTTCATTTGTTTGCATTTACCTGATAAAAGACTGACAGCAATTCACTTCTAACTGCTCATTGTGTAGTCACGTTTCAGGTGGTAATAAACACAAACGAAAGGTCTCGTTTCTGTTAGCTGATTCTAAGTCGTAACTTTTTCTAGAGGCGCATATAACAGGAGCACCCAACGACGGTTTCTTCCTAAATGCATTAAAAAGTCTTTTTGGGCTTTCCAGAGTACTCTTAGATCTCTAGAAATGCATTCTAAGCGGCGCTATAAAATTTGTATCTGTTCAGTCTGTTAGGTCAGCACAGAGGAACTTGAGTCTATTCGAAATTTCAACGGCTTCAGTTTTGTTTTACCGAAAATTTTAGATGTAATTTAACGTATTACGAAAGTGACATTTTTTCTAATTTCTCTCTTCATAACATTTTTTAATCCGAAAATTTTAGGTTTCCTTTTTTCTACGAAAAGTAGCCTAACCTGACGGGTGAAAGGAGAAATTTTACACTTTAGAAAATCGCAGGGGATTTATTAGATAAGCTTCGAAAACTGTACATGAATGGAACATTCATCTTGAAATTTTTAGGCGTCTTAAGGCAAAAGAAAATTTTAGGCGATTTTTGCTTTCCGAACAGATATTTTACAGAAAACAGTCGTCGGGTGCCCCTGATGATGTAACAAACAATCATCGAAGTATGTCAGAAGCACAAAATCTTGGTGGCGGGTGAGGACTGAGGTGGGTGTACGAATTGGTGTCTTGGATTGTATTATAGGTGGTCAGAATTCAAAGAAAAACTTAACATGCCAGCAAACTCTCCGGGGCGCTCTGGCGGCGGGGCCCGTACCCCAGGGAGAGCCAAGTTGCTCGCAGGTTATGTAAAATTTCTCGGTTATTCTACATATATTCAGAGGAACGATAGAACTGGTCATTATCGGAGTACTCCCAATGTGTTTTCCAGGCGTCATTTTCAAGAACGGGGAATTTTCCGGGATATTGGGGAGTTAATATTGAGCAACGTACGTCAACCGAAGTGGACTTTTTGCACACTTGAGCGGGCAGACTTAGGCGTTTAGGCGATGGAAGATTGTTGAAATCTCTTAACCCTTAAAGTCCCAATCACGGACCAACATTGATATTCTCCAGACAACAACAGCTCATCATCAAGAGATAGAATTGTGAGAATAAATAAAACATTGTCACCAAAGGGAAAATGCTTTGTTCTTCGTATTAAATTCTCTCTACTAATTCTTGAAGGAAATGCATAGAGATCAGTTTTGAGAATTTGTATGTGGATATCGGGGCTTAAAGGGGTTCATCTAGACAAAAGCAAACTTCCACAGAGTCCTCTCTTTTCCTTACGAGAGAACTTTAAGTCCAATTCATTTTCAGTCATAACCTGTCGCACTAGCTAAGGCGACTTCGGTATAAGGACACACTCAAAAACGAGCATTGGTGCTAACCAGAGCCCCTCAGAGTTTTGCTAATTCAACTGCAGAAGTGCAAGGCTGTCATATTTACAACACTGTTGTCAAAGGCATTATCATTGAAAGTTATGCAACGCGCGAAGAACTGCAAAAATGAACAACTCGTTTAGCCAGAAAGAACTGCTTTAATAAAGGCATGAGAAGCGATGGATTATTTGGTTTTCGATTAATATTATAATAACACTTAACGAATTCAAACCTCCATTTAAACATCTTCGGAGGGAGTAAAGACTAAACAGCATGCAGCGGTTCGAGTCCCAGTCCCAGTACTGCGAGCTACTGCGCTTAATTCAAAACTGCAGTTAATTCATTCACTTAATAGCTTAATTTATTCAGTGTCTGAAAGAAATAGCTACACTGGTAAGGGAGCTATAAGCAAAGACGTTTTTGACTACAGAAAATACCATAACATACCATAATGCTCTTTGTTTGTCATCCCAAAATTTTAAATTGTCTTCAGTTTCTCTTGGAAGTTAAATGGGGTGACAGACAAAGGGCATTATGGTATGTTTTTCTGTAGTGGCCAATTAATTGTTTATTGTTTAATACTTGGATCAAGCAGAGCCCTGTGTTTTACTGTACAGTAATCACGCATTTGCTGGATTCAAGGACTTCATAAGTTCAATAAATTTTGGCACATTTTTTTCGAAAGTGATGCACATTGTTTATTGCTAGAATTTCCAAATACATCTGGCACTTAAGTACTTCGTGATTACATTGTAGTTAATGCCAAATAGATGGAATGCTACACTTGTCGGTATTGTACGCGCAGCATTTGTAGTTTTCCCAGTCTGGGTTAAACCTGTCTCTCTCCTGATTTTGGCACGCCTCGTCGAAATTTTTTTCGTGAATTGTATAGCAGCCCTGGCATGTATTCTGAATGCAAAGTCTTGTTGTAACGAAATCTTTGCCATCTTTACTATCGGGATGTACTTCCCTCTGATCACATTCATTTATACTGTCTACAATACTGGAGGTGCAGACTGAAAACGAAATAAAAAGATTAACGGAAATCTTATATAAAATAGTTTAAGGTATAGAACCGGAATAGAATTACGATTTGTCACGGACTAATAAAAAAATGTTACTGTCGGTAACAAACTTTCATCCTTCTCATACCGAATTGTTTATATTACATACTAGTAGGAAGATGGATTTTTTCACCTTGCCCCCATAACTTTATAGAATAAAGAAAGATAAGCTAAAGACACTTAAAGCGTTGATTTTGTAGAACGTGTGAGAAAGCCTATGCTAAGTTAAATGCTAATTACGCGACGAAATTGCCCATTTTACGTTTTTGGCTGGAGTTACCTTGTTTTGATACAACCCTTCTTGCTTTATTATTGTTGCTAACTAACATTTTTCACCATTATTTCCATCAAACGGAACGATCAACTTCATTCTCAAATTCAGCCTCAAAGACTAAGAGTAAGTTGACAACAGTAGATGGTCTAATGTCCGCCATCTTGGATCCGGATTTTTTTCCTCAGGGAGAATCAAACACTCTCTTGCTGTAATCACCTAACAATAAATATTTTTTTATCCAATTTCCAGCATTGACTTGTTATTTTCACTGCAGCATTATCTCCTACCATTTCATCCACTCACTACTGATGACAAACTTCACAAGTAATTATTATTACCCATTAAAGATAACACGTGTTTGCCGCATATTCTCCCGCAGTTATTCACTATCACACTCATTTTCTGTTACTATAATTACACATGTAGGAGGGTCAAATGGAGTGAAAACGGGACCTACGAAACACTGGCTACCCTTCCTTAACAACACCAACCCCATTTAAGTCCCAGAAAATCCTTTTTAATAAAAGAGCTCTGGGTTTTAAATTTACTCCAACCAAAAGGCGATTAACTACATCTCACCTTCCAATATTAGAGCCAGTGTTCAAACCCGTCCTCACCCAATTTACTCCAATTCTCTCCCCCTTCCATCCCTGACATTTTATGGGCCTCACCCCCGAGCTTCGCGAGGTTCTGAGATACACGTATTTCTAGTTAAAGGCTGCTATCTGGTTTTATTGATTTCATTTAATGGGCGTTTTCGGAAGTTGAGGAATACAAGTGTAAAAAATATACTATCAGTTTCATTGAAACCACAACGTTACCTTGCATGTTAAAAAGAACGGACACCACCACAATCAATGATTGAATAAAAACTGCTCTGCGGACCACCATTTTAATCACTCGATCCTAACTCGTTCAACTGCAAGACGCAAGAAAACCATAATCACTAAAAATACTAATCGCTCTTTAGATACCTAAGAAACAGATGTGTAAATATGATCTCTTTGGTTATGCAAGGAAAATAATGTCTTTTTTTGATACAGGTGTGCTACAATATCTGTTGTGAGAAATATAGACTGACTTAATTAATTGGCAGTTTTACCTTATTTTCTAGTTAAGGCTAACAAGAGGGAAAAAGAGAAACCAGAAACAAATATATATTTTAAACATTAAGAGACTTGGAAAAAGCGGAATGGATTGAAAACTCAGCAAATTCTCTTTTTCATGTTCGTTTTATCAAAGTTAAACAATACTTTAAAAATAATTGTCATACCAGTAAAGTAATACAATGAGGCCTTTCCCCTTCGTTGTGGTTAGCTGAGTGTTGCAGATCGCCGGATTCTTTGAGCACCTTTATAAAGGCTTTAAGAAGAGCGCAAAATACAAAAATTATTTAAATTAGGCTGTATGAAACTACCATAAATAACATACAGTTGCTTTTAAAATATCGTTAATTGTTTACTGTATCAGTTCGACATTCAAATTTTGGTCGTGTTGATGACACTTTTTTTTCCTTTTGAGATGGAACCAATTTAACAACGATTCAAATTAAGTTTACTCTGCTCAAACCAGTTCGTTCTGAGTTCCGGCTAGAGCGTTATTAGCCACATATTCCAGTAGTTTTATTTTTTCATGGGTTTTCTTACAGGGCTGATTTTACCTATAAAAGTTAGGTTGGTAAAAGTCTGATTAATACTTTTTTTTAATGATTTTTCAAATAAAAAGTGGCTTCCTGTATTAATTGAGATAAATGCATTTACCATATAACAAGTAAATATGAACAAATTGAAACATAAAAAGGGAAGTGTTATTTAGCGAAGAAGACTGATATTTGTCACTGAAGCCGAAAATTTTACTTAATATCCATATTTAAACATGAAGCGATTCACGCATGTTATGTGTTTGTTGTTTGGAGGAAGCTTTAAGGGTTCTGGACGGGAACTTAATTGATTATTACTGAAAATTAAGCACGATAAATTAGCAAATTATGTATGCTTTTGACTGAAAGAGATCAATACTCAACAGCATTTCCTTTATGCATCACGTACGAGATTATCAAAAGTACACCCCTCTATTTAAATCAGTTAGGTAGAAACCAAGGACAACAACCTTTTTCTACCTAAACATCTTGCTATATTTTTTGGCGTATTTTATAAGCTCAAGACATTGAAGGAGAGTTTCTCCTTTCATGAGCTTTGAACGTGATACTGAGGGGTTTTTAAAGTGGGACACCGTGTCTCCAAGTTAACTTTGACGTTCACTCTTCCTCAATCCGGATATCCTTGTAAAATATTCTCCTTTTAATAGCCATCTCTACTTTTTAACAATAAAACATAAGGAACTTGTGGTTTACAATAAATCATACAAAAAGTGATTCTTCATCGCGATAAGCATATGCCTAAGCTAAGTCAATACTGGTGTCGCTCTTCCAAACTTGGACCTTTGAAGGAGAGCATTGGGTTGTTTGTGCTTAATTTGAGCTCTTGATTAGGCTGTTGTACATTATTGTGCTAGCATTTATTCAAGCTTTATAGTAAGAAAAAAGTGATTGTTAGGGCATTTTGGTGACATTGGCCATCCTCATAAAAGGTCTCGTTTCCCATCGCCCGACCGACACATTTTTTTGGAAAAGTGAAAAAAAAAATAAAAAAAAATAAAAAAAAATTCCAGAATCACTTGCAAAGAAGCAAGTACTTTAATTTACAAGCACACGATCTTGTCTTATTAACACCAGTTGTCTTAAATTATCATCGATACTTCGTTTTTGTAGCCTTTTTAGACATTTGATAGTCCTGTTAATATACATCTTTTACCATCTGATTATATCTTGCAGACTAAACGTGAGATTTAATATGCAATCATGTGTTCATTCTTCTTAAGTTTTTTTTTTGCCCGACCGACTGTCCCACCTTCACGAGAGGGAGGGCGATGGGAAACGAAACATTTTATGGAGATGGCCATTTCACCAGCTTTCTTTTCAGAGAAAATAACATTAAAAATAAAATTACGAGAAAGTAAAGACTAATAATAACTCTTTGACGTCCGGTTTGGTCGTTTTTGGACGATATGGACCCATGCATATTACTCTGACTTCCTGCACCCATTAAGCTGTCCATTGAAGCTATTAAGATGGTAATAGACCTTGTCACGGTTTTGGAAGCCATGCGTCTTGACGAGTTAAGGCAATAGCGTGAGAAATTACAGTGTTTGCATGAGGAATCTAATGTCGAATAATTTCCGAGAAATGGCTGTTCTAAAAAAAAATATAAATTGTAAACTCAAGCTACACAGCAAAGGGTTTTACTGACAAATGTTGGGGGCCTTAACTGTGCTTAATTTTCTCTAGACGCTTGCTTTAGATTTTCCATTGTCTGTAATTTTTCTTGATAGATTTTAGTCGCCAGGAGGAGAAATGTTCACAGACAAAGTTATCTAGAGATAATTTTAAAAAAGTGGTTTTAGTACATGCAGCTGCATGTAATGCCCTCCAATATTTTCAGTAGAATGGTTCGGAGTGAAGCTTTACGGTTTACAATTCATAATTTTTTCAGAACAGCCGTTTTACAGCTGGTTTTACGCAAATTATTCGACATTCTAAGAACCTCATACAAACACTGTAATTTCTGACCGGGTTGCCTACTCGTCCTACTCGTCAAGATGGCGTCCAAAATAGAGAAGAGAGCTTTCCAATGGTACCTCATTTAGCAAGTTTTGATCAATCCTGACAGAGTTCTTGACAAAACAACAAGCAACATTTTGGGGGGAAACACAACTCCAATTTTTGCTCGTCACCTGCCACTCTTTGCGGATTAAACTATTTGTACCTTTCTCGGAAAGAACAGCAGCCAAGGCAAAGAAAAGGCTATAATGTGGTCAACAAAACTGGCTATAATAGAAATGGCAAAGGGAAAAAGAAGAGAGCGAGAAAAGAAATCGAAATAAATTCGCCAAAAAAAGAAAGTCCAATTAATGCACATACGCTTAACCATTCTCATCTGCTTAGGCCCTGTGCAGACGCCGCGAACTTTTCATGAGCCGAACCTGATAAATTGAATTAACGAAGTACATGAAAAGTTCGGCGTCTGAATCAATTAGGAACGCCTGTTTCAATCTAGAACGGCTCAGCCGTTCTTTTCGCCTAGCGCGCACTGCCAGGAATGTTGCCTTCGGAGCGACTTTGGAGCGGGTTTGATTCAGACACCGCACTTTTCATGTACCGAACCTAAAGCATAAATTACTATAAATAACGTATTTCGGTAAGCAGATTGACCGAAATAAGCATTTTTTGCCTTTTGAACTTAGGTCAGCAGCAATTATAAGATCGGGCGTCTGAATCAATTCAGCTGGTCTAAATAATTTGGGTCAGCCTTAATTCCAATTAGGTTCGGCTAATGAAAAGTTCGGTGTCTGAACCGGGCCCTTAAACTACACCCAATAAGCAGAAACTTATGCCCTTAGTGTTATGGAAATCTCTTTTTTTAGCCATTCCCAAAACTAACTGGCGGAAAGGCGGCTCAAAAAGAGAAGATTTGGTCAAATACCACAAGATCAAATACCACAGAGTCTAATACAGAGTAAACAACTTATTATAAGAAATATGGGACGAACGCTTTTTGGACAAGAATAGTGACTTCTCTTTGGTAGGAGAAGGAACTTTAAATAATTTTTTGGTCTTGTATGTTTCTTTCTTGTTGATTCTCTTGACGAATAATGGTTTATTCCGTGGAAACCTCCGTTATTCCCGTCCTCATCTCTGGGGAACCGTTTTTGCAACGCCACTTAAAGGGGCTGTGTCAAACACACCCGCCCCCACACAACCCTAATCAAAACATTGGAAATAGTGCTTAAGTTTTACTCAAAATAACTCTTAGTTCGTACTACTGTACTTCAAATATAATAGATCCTTCCACTGTTTTCTTAACTTTTGTATGGGCTAGTTACAAAAAAAAAAACTGCCAAATTTGAAAGAGATTCATCTTAGGCGAACGAAGATTTGAAAAGTTGAAAAAATAAAAGAAAAATGCGTGGAATTGACCTAATTTCACTTTCGATGACCAGGAGGCAAAATAACGATCATGCTTGGTTTTCCCTTAGACTGATAGAATCGTATGAACTCTTTCTTGTAGAGCATCAAGAGTGTAAAAAGTCACTAGCTCATGAGAATAACTTGCTAGATATAATTTCAACTGCAGCAGAAAAAGTGGAACTCACCTTCTCGACGTATGACCGCTAAATACAAGAACAACTTTAAGTGTAATACTAACCGTAAGTGTAATAAAGTTTAACGCTAAATGTTATATATACCAACCGTAAATGTAATTAAAATCTTTAAGCTAAATGCAATACCAACCGTAAATGTAATAAAATTTTACTCTGAAGTGTAATAACACAATAATTAAGAGTGGCACCAAATAGCATGAATGTCACATGCTTTTCTTCCCTCCGTTTTAAATAAACCTTCTAGCATTGACTGGCCAAATAACTCTTTTAATTTCTTTCCAAGGTCTTAATTAAATCTATTCCTACTATTAATACTAACCCGAAAAAAAAAAAACAATCGGGACTTCAACAGGATGAAAATTAAAAAAGAAAAAGGGGTTAATTTGTCTTGCTTAGACTACAATTGCCAATGCGACGATCATATCTTCATTTAAATTTGTATTATTTTCCTCAGTTCACATCATCCGCAGCCATTCAATATGTATTTCTAGTAGCCAGTAAAAGTTGAAAGGTTAGTCAACAAGGAGGGAAAAAATTTTGACATTCATTCTTGTTTGGTACCACTCTAATACCATGTTGTATCCCCGCTAGATGTAATAACAACCCTAAATGTAATACTAACCGTAAATGTAATAAAATTTAACGCTATATGTAACACCTATCGTAAATGTAATAAACTTTAACGCTAACTCAGAAATCACCCCGCCCTTAATGTAATGATTATAAACGCCAAATGTAATAACTCACCCCACCGTGTAAATGAAATGAACTTTTAACGTCAAGTGTAATAACGCAGTAATACTTATTAAGAAACAGTATTGGTGTTCTTGAATGCTCTTTTTCTTCCGTTTTTACTCCAAACATTTTATTAAAATAATGGCAAAAATATTAGCACTCGTAATGAAACCAGACATGTTTCTTATAAAGACACAAGAAATCAACTTTTTGATCCCTTTATTCAAATAATTACAAAAATATTAGCACTAGCTCGCAATGAAACCAGACACGTTTCTTACAAAGACACAAGAAATCAACTTTTTGCCCCTTTATTAAAATAATTTCAAAAATATTAGCACTCGCAATGAAACCAGACACGTTACTTATTAAGACACAAGAAATCAACTTTATGACCCTTTACTAGTGGTGGAAACAATAGAAATGTGGTGGTGGTGGAGGGAAACAATAGAAATGTTGTGGTGGTGGTGGTAAGGAGGGAAACAATAGAAATGTGGTGGTGGTGGTGGGAAACAATAGAAATTTGGTGGTGGTGGTGGAGGGAAACAACAGAAATGTGGTGGTGGTGGGGGTGGAAGGAAAAATGTATAAAACAAATGACGAGGTGGAGTAGGAGGAGGGAAAATTATAATAAAATTGTGAAGGAGGAAAATAAAAATGAAAAGAGGGGTAAGTAAAACATTGTGTGCAGTGTTAAACAAAAGATAGCTTGCCTTCTTTGATCTTCTTTGACCTTCTTTTTGCTATTATTTTAATAAAGCGTCATAAAGTTGATTTCTTGTTTCTTTTTAAGAAACGTGTCTGGTTTCATTGCGAGTGCTAATAATCTACTAAATATCATTTTTTATTTTTTCGTTACGGTGACTGAAAAGCCAAAGTGATTCCTTTTAAGGCTTCCTGTAGCGTTGGGCTCCTTTTTTAAGCAATAAGAAAGTTAAACACTTTGATCTACAGGGCTAGTTAATTAGGATGGTTACATTTCCTTTTCGTTGCATAGTGTTTATCCAGTGAAAAAAAGAAAGACTTTAAAGCATGCTAAAAGTTAAATTGCATTATAGCGAAAAAAACAACACAGCTGCTGTCATCCCGCCGACTTTTAAAACTGTTAGCTATTCTCACCAAATTTTGCGGATTCTTAACAGTTCGTTTTGCTTACTGTTTTGCTAGGTAGGTGCTGAGCCGATAATGAACTTCACAAGTTCTAAACACTACCGTGAGGTGCAAATAGCTTCTTGCATTTTTCTTGCTTTAGTATCTCTTGCGGCAGCCGTGGGAAATGGGCTTTTATTGGTTACGATTTGGAAAGATCCCTTCAAAGCTTTTCGAACACCAACAACCTTCTTTATCATTGGCTTAGCGGTTGCAGATTTCCTCGCCGGGATCATTGTTTGCCCGATACAAGCATTACTAAGCATTGCAGGATATATTGAACTCAAAAGAAACTCTTTAATCTTTCCATTTCTCCAAAAAGCAGCATCAGTGGCAAATTTCATCTCACCAATCACAATGAACAGTTCATACATTATTTTGCTCTCACTTACTTGGAGTCAGTTTTTAGCTATAAGCTACCCTCACAAACACAAAAGGCTTGTTACCAAGAGAAGAGCTAAAGCTAGTCTGATATTAACCTGGGCCTACACTATAGCGTTTGCAATTTTGTATGCCTCTGGAGTGGAAAAAACGGTCCTCTTTAAAGTAGATCTGTACGTCCACACAACTGGAAGCCTTCTACTCCTTACAATTGCCTACTTTTGTCTGTACAAAGCATTCAAGAGACATATGAGAAGGCTCCATTCCTTGAAAGGAAATAACCTCAGCAGAGTTAACAGAAGACAAAGGCAGTTTACCATAGTCAACCTTTTGCTACTGATGTTCGTCATCGTTTGCACCCTTCCCATAACAGTTGTCTACTACTTGCATATTCATCACACAGAATCCAATACGCACCCCCTTAAGATGAAGATTGCAAACCTTCTTTCAAGCAACCTGTTGTTTCTCAAGTTTACTCTTGATCCCCTCATCTACCCTTGGAGGCTGACACAGTACAGACAAGCTTTAAAATCTTTAGTAACGTGTAGAAGGCATAGGGTTCAAATTGACGATGTGATTTCTCACTCGTTGGATAATCAAACACTAAATACACGACGTTCTGAAAGACCGATATCGAACAGGGAGATGTAGATATAGACCAAAGCATGCACGGGAGCTTAAAACCAAGGATCATTAAATCCGTAGCTTTGGCAGAATACTTACACCAGTATGGTCAAGACGTTAAAAAAGGCATTGCCGTATTTTCAATAAACTTGATAGGTCCTGGAGTCATGCAATATGGGTAAAGTAGGAATTTTAATTGGCTAGTACCTCATGTAAGTCCTACGTAAAAACTCTAGGGAGAATGGATACAAACCTTGGGTGCAATGATTTCTGGAATCGTTTGGGTGGACAAGCGTTAGTTATGATTGGTCGATGGCATGCAAGGAAAGCATTAACCATTAACAACTGTGTACCGAAAAAATCTCAGAAATAGTTGCGCCGAAAGCTTATAAGTTCCACCACACTGAAAACCGTCTTAAGCTGAAGATTTGAAAGCTACATTGACTCCAATGTACACGATGAAAGGTTGTTATCGTAACGCAGTCGCAATTTTGAATTGTAATTAGTCAGAAAAGTACCTACGAATAATTGTATATTTCGCCAGTTGGCGTAAAGCAAAGCCATATGTTTTACAAGCATTTTCCCAGAAATCTTTTTGAAATTGATGCGGATTGTTTATGCTAATATATTCAATACATGCATCTGGGACTCAAGCTCTTTGTGTCGACTCCGAAGACTGTGATTACATCATGATGGTAGTTTTGGAACGGTACACTCCTCGGTATTAAACGCACAGCATTTGTAACTTTCCCAGTCTTTGCTTCCAGCTTCCTTCTGCTCATTTTTGCACGCCTCGTCGTAATCGCTCTGGTGCTTTGAATAGCAGTCCTGGCATGTATTCAGCATACAAAGTCTTGTTGTAACGAGGTCTTTGCCATCCTCACTATCAGGATGTGGCTCTCTCTGATCACACGTATTTAAAGCACTGGCAGTATGGGCTGAAAACGAAACTTTAAGATTTAATTAAGGGATTCACTATAGCTCATCGTCCTAATAATCTGACAAACAGAAAAAGGAAAAATAGACTAATTGTAATTGTGCTTTTTTTATATATCATAATTGGATAAGAGTAAGGCGTTGAAATGGTTGAAAACGAGGCTTGATACACTTTTCTTTTTTTTGTGTGTTTGAATTTCTTTATAATGAATTGCACTTTTAAGCATAATTTCAGCAAGAAAAGTTAAGGAGGTTTTAATTAAAAGGACAAGTTTAATCTCGTACCCAGATCTGTACACGAGCTTAGTACACGGTCAACCTCAATCTCCCGCAGCTCAAAGGCTAACATAGTACGCCAACATCAGTAGGTGGTCGACTATTTTTCTTTTCATGTGGACGCCATCTTGGATTCGGTTTTTTTACCGGGAAGAATTCTTTTGTTTTTCTTTCAAGATTTCTTACAGGTTTTCTAATGATTTTAAGTTTAAAGAACGTTTTCAAAGCTTAAAGGAATGCTAGTGTAAGTTATTAGTTTCAAACCATCCACGTTACCTTGCATGTTATAAACAACGGCCACCACCGCAATCAATGATTGAATTAAAACTGCTCTGAACATCATTTTCATAAACTCTTGTTCAACTGCAAGATATCACAAAACCAAAATTATTAAAATACCAACCTCATTTTCACGTTCGAGCAAGATACAGCAAAAGAAACAGATGTCTAAATATGATCGTATTGGACATGTTTTTACATCGCAGGTGTGCTTTTTTCTATCAATATCTGTAGTTGTAAATATAGACTTTTTAAAATATCGGGAGACTTACCTCCATTTTTCTAGTTAAGGCTAACAAGAGAAATTAATAAACTTGAAAGGAAATATAAATTTCAAACATGCTCGGTCAAGTGTAAGTCGTACAAAAATATAATTTCCATGGTGACAGTAAGGTAACGAGGAATTATGTCCTGAAGGGTTTTTGCTGAATAGTAATATTGTAACTACATGCATGGTCTGAATAATTATAGCTGTGTAATATTCTTCTTCAAAAGTTAAAAAAAGGAATATTAAACATGGTGACTCTCTTTCAATTGTTTTAAAATCGACCCAAGGAATTCAGTCCAAAGAAAAAGAAGAGAAAAAAAATAAAGAGAAAAAGAAAAGGGAACTAGAAAAAGAACAAGAACAACGGAGGGATATCCAGAGTAATTATTATTGAATTAAAAGAGTTAATCGCCTTGACTACAAAGCTTCTTCGGACTTCGAGTTTGTAAGATGTTGTGGAGAAGAATGGCACGGTTTATGGCTTAACCATCCTTGGAGAACCAGGGGCAGCTTGTCAGGACGATGAAATGTGGCGTGTTCAGAGTTAATAGTAAACGTTCACCACGAACATTCCATCGTCTCAAGTAGCTGTCCCCGGTTCTCCAAGGATGGGTTTATACGGGATTTTTAACAGTTTCTCACTTTTGGTAAATGCTCTCATGGAAATCAAGCATTTTTAGCTCATATTTCAAGTCAGCACAGTTAAAGTTCCATTGCATAGCTTTACTAACGACAACAACAACACGGTTGGTTTTAAAGGGGCTGTGCCACGGCAGTCCAGTTCATTTTGTTTAATTTTGCAAATTACTCGCTCTCAGTCGCTATGGAACTTAAAGTAAGCAAAGAAATTACTGGTAAATGACAAAATCAGAGATTGGAGACAAACAAATATGTCTCCTGAGCATTATTTTTGAAGTTGCAAGCAGCAGGGATCAAATTTGAAAAACTGTTAGGCTGAACAGCCTTCAAAAACCTAGTTTCAATCCGTTTCAATCTTCTTCAGTTTTGCCCATCCATGGCATCTGTTGTTTCTCGGTGTTATGTTATTTTAACCTTCCTTTGAAGTTTTAAGCGGTTATTTTTGTGTTTTTCTTACTTAATGGGCATTTTGTAATTTCCTATTTTGGCTGAATTTCGTGACACAGCTCCTTTAAGGCTAATATAGCTTATGGGGCCGTGTTAAAAAAAATGTTAATAAAATAATAACAATTATTTTTTAAAAAAAGTACTTGAAATGAATCGTCTCTTAAACTTTGATAAAAGTAGTTATTGTATCCGGCAATAAGCGCGAGTAAAGCATTGATATATAGTCGTTATTACATTTCTTTTGTCCTTGGGTCTCCAATTTTAGCATATTTTGCTAGTCTTTGCCTGATTTAAAGTATCTGGGAGAATAACTAGGCGAATAGACTGCCTTTAAGAGATTGTGTTGTTTTCTCTAGAAGAATACGACAGTCACCTCATACTTACTCAATCTTGATACTCAAATGCCTTTGGTTCATGTAATTCGGGAGCTGTCTTGATAGAATGGGTCTTCGTCACAGGAACATTGGTTGAAATAACATATTAAATATGCAGAAAATTGCATATTCACTGTCATACTTTGTCATTTTCCATCATTTACACATCTCCCATAATACACCTTTTTGGCCTACCTCCCAAAGATTTTGCATAAACATTGTCTTCAATTTCTCTTGCGACGACTGAATAACCATGAGAAATAAAAAACAAAGGTTACGCAAACTTTTGGGGGACAAGGAAGGTGTAATATTGAAGATATGCAAAGGGTGTATGCGTTCTTAATAGTTTTCCATTTGCACGTCGTTTAAATTATTCGATAGTTTTGAATAGCCCACGCTCGATATATTAAAATTCTGACATGACTCCAAGGCTTTCTGATCATTTCTCTATAATATTTGGTTAGGTTTTCTTTGTGCTCAAGTCTGTTTTGGGAATCGCGAGTCATAGTCATAGTCTTGAAAAATTTGCAATTTTGATCCTAAAGCCTCGGAGTCATGTTAAAATTTCAATCTATCGAACGTGCAAACACTATTGAATCTATACAGACTGTGGAGCGGAAAAATCTGTTGGTTGGCCAATCGTTAATATTCAACCCTCAAAACTTAGTTGTGAGTTTTAAGATTTAATATTTCGGCACAAAATTAAAGACGCTTGTCGTTGCCCTAACAACATTTATTGGCTAGTAATTTGAAGGTTTTAATCCATAGATTTTGTTAGAAATCAGTTTTGAAATCTTGATTTAAGTGAAGGTCAGTTCGAAATTGTGCCATGGATAAGGAGTCTGTCTGGGACAAAGTGGATAATGTATTCAAGATGGCGTCCATTTGAAATATGGCGTAATTTTCACGCCAGAAGAAGTTAGCAATTCACGTGAACAAAGTGCTATACAAGCCAGTCTAGGACTTAATAGGGAGTTTAAGATATGGAGACTACAGACTACGAACTACGGCTGGACGAGCGTTGTCCTTCGTTTGTAGCACTGGGTTGAGTCGTGCAAATATAGAACGTTAAGATTGCACTACAGACAGTAAGACTACGAGAGAAGAGGCGGAGTGGGAAACAACACTCAAAGATTTTCTTGTTTTCATCACAGTTCACAAAAATGCAGGTCACTTTTGCATGTGATCTTATCTTTAGAACAATGAACAAATTCTTTCATACTTGAAGGAAGCAATTACACGTAATTACTTCGGGTGGAATTGGTGAACAAAGTTTTGGTTACACAGGTTTAATTTTTTTCGCCCACTCATGTCAAATATTACAGAAATAGACAGAAATAGTAATAGCTTATTTATTAGATTTAGAAGGTGGATTTCTCCGACTACTGATTTGATGTAGTTTGAACAGTTTGAAGTATTGAAATGCCGAGTTTCGATTGTCTCGAAGATGTTTACATCATTTTCATTCAGCAAATGTGATACAAAAACTCGCATAAACAAATGTCACACAAGTAGAAAGACACACTAATCAGTTCGAACAAACATTGAAACTTTTCAAGTGCGAAGAGAAAGTAAATTACCTGCATGATTTCTCTTCTCCTCGGCCGTCAATCTGAAGCTTATTTAAATATGAGCTTAATGTAGTCACAACAGTGGATTAAAAGCGTAAATCTGAGCAGAAATTAGACACAACTTACATATTTCGCTTCCCTCTCACTTAAAGCAGGTGAATTGAAAACTTTTTTACGAAAAGACGAGATTCTTGAATAACCGAGACGGCAAAACACGAGCAAAATGTTCTCCGTAGTCCCGACTACGCGAAACAGCTCAACAACTCACCGTAGCCGCAGGGCTACGCGGGAAAAATGACCAGTCACGTGGTTTTGATCATGCGCAGTAGCATGTTCATCCGTAGCCGTAGTCCGTAGTCGCCGTATCTTAAATTCCCTAATATCGATCAGGAAGAACGACCGACAAAACTAGGGGTGGAAAAAATAAAGATCTTTAACTTGATCATGGGAACAGGTTTGGCGATGTTCATATCAACTTTCCGGGGGGACTTCCGGAGCTGCCCGTCAAAAAACTAGAATTTTTTAAAACTTCAAAAGGAGATCAACCCTTGGTATGGCTCAGGCTCTATCAACCTCGTCCCCAGGGCTTTTCCCTTTTTTAAAGGAAAGGCCCTGGGACGGAGTTGAGGCTCTATTAAACCACAAAAGGAGACAATTCACTGTTCTGTTAAAAGTAGCCTTCAGAGAAGAGACGACCGGAAAGACGTCTGCCGTTTGCATGCTATGTATAGCTGAATGGAGAATTCTAAGGACAGATATCTTGAAGAACTAGCCTAAGTTACGATATTTCCTGTTTATTGTCCTTTGAAGATATCAATGAAGATATCAATGTTTGAGTTAAATCATAACTAAGAATTTTCCCCTTGAATCTTTCCACAGGAATAGTAATTTCATCCTCCGTCCAGTTATAACATAAAGCAAACAAAAGAGCTCACAAGTGAATAATGTCAATTTATTTCAAAACGTACAATTGCCCTTAACATTGTCCATAAATGGCATGTAGCTTCCACGCCTCAAATGTTAAAAATCGCTGTAAAAGGAGCTAATAATTAGGTACAAGTGATACAAATGTCTAGTCTAGGATCCTTTTGTTTCATTACAGTTATCACTTAGATTACATTTGTTTTGAATGAGGAAAAATATTTGTAACATTGCGCCATGCCAGCACGGCTTTAACTTCCAATTTAACAGACCTCCACAGAAGTATTTCACTCAAAGTGCTAGATAGTCATATGAATTAAAAAAAAAAAAGAATGCACTAGATTTCATCACCATGCATTGAATTACCTTTTTGTAAATGCTTTAAACATTTAAACATAATTCTTTTTATTAAAAATATAAAAAACTTATTATAAAAAAAAAAAATTGCGTTTGCCTGTATGTAATCGCTCAATTTAAGAAAAAAAGTGAGCAAATTCCCAAAAAAGTGCTGCCATTTTTATTTTCAACAAATCGCAGTTGTAATTACAAATACATTTGTTTTCATAATAGACCCTTCCACTCTTTTATAAAACTTTTGACCCATTAACACTACTAAGTGGTGGGCCTCAAAATTAGGTAACTTATTAAAATAAGTTTAAAGGTGATACGTCCAAAGAGAGCGAAATTAATATTTCTCCACAAAGTCGAAAAATCATACACTTGTTTGTGTGGTGGGGGGAAGCTTGCCCCCACCACACAAAACGGTAGATTACATGGCCTTAAGGAACTTTATCTTTGTAAGTTTTCAACAACTCACTTTCAAACTTGGCGTCTTTATTGGTCTTAAGGCAATCTTCACGAAGCCGTGTTGGCGGGTTTTGCTAACTGGTGCCAGTCAAAAGTTGAAAAAAACCTTGGAAGGATCTATTATGAGTCATCATTCTTTTTTTTTCTCTCGAGGACTTATATGGAGGTGATAATGTATTTGTCTTGGTTTTCGGTGTTGTAGAGTCGTTCCGTTCTTGGCGACGACTCATATACCTCGGGAGAGGGGGGTGAGGAGGAGCTTTTTCTGCTTCCTGTACAACTCTTCCCTGGATTTTCCTCTATGCTGTTTGTTTCATCTTCGCGCATGTCCGTTGAGAATTCCTGCAACAGTAGACAAAACGTCAAAATCATAATCGTTATTATATTTGCCCAATTTACCTTTAATTTGTTTTTAGGCTTTTCCTACGAACAAGACTTTTCTTCAGAGCCTGAAGCATATCTAGCAAAATTCAGCGGAGCCCAACTGAACCTTTTCGGACAATGTGATTACCGTATGCTATGCGGTCATGCAAGGCAACGTTTAACGAGATATTAGAAATTAGGAAGGAGGATAAACTCACTGAACAAAGATTAGTCAAGTAGCAAGTTAGTAAGCAAGAATTAAGTGTTGAGAGAAAAATTACCGGACTGTTGAATCATGATGCACAGTTTCCGACTAAAACAACAAGCCGTGTACTAACTTCGTCAAAATCTGAGGGGTACACTTTCTTAAGACACTTTGTCTTAAGCATCTCGTGAAACAGCCCCTCGATAGTGAAGATCACATTACCACTGCCACAAAGTCTTTGACACGTTTTATCAGACAATCTCATCAACATTTTAGACTTGACCAGTTTCATGTAACACAGAACCTATCAAAATCTAAGATAATTTTAAGGAGGAGTCGTTCAAGTTCTACCCGGAAGTGGAAGAGGTTTTTTCTCTTACCTAATTGCTGATAGCTCGTGGAGAAGTCAAACCGGGCGAACGGGACTAAATATTTAGAGAACGGACCTCTGGATCAAGGTATGCAAGTTCACGAGTAAAAACGAAGCTTTCAAATACTTGGCTCAGTCTTTACTGGCGTTTCGTTGGTTCTACATTACATGGGACTCGTTAAAGTTGTAGGTAAAAAATTTGTCTTAAATCATGAAATAATAATAATAATAATAATAATAATAATAATAATAATAATAATAATAATAATAATAATAATAATAATAATTTGCAAAGCACTCTGGAATGGCCCTTATGAGTGTTTACGCCTGACGAGCAAATTTCACGACCAAGCCTCGCTCGCTCTTTAACAGAATTATTTGCATTTGCACTCATTACTCATGGTATTGTTTTTGAAACAACAGTCTTGGGGATTCAATTTAGTAAAACTTTGCCAAATAAGATTTTCGAAACAAGACTCGGTGGTGAAATTGCTCGTCTGACGTAAACATGCATGACGTCGGCTATTATGAGAAGACAGGATAGAAAGAAGAAAGACAGTCATACCAGCAGTAAAGAGAAGAGGTGGAGCCGGCCGGAGGACTGCTCCTTACTCATACCTGTACCTCATAGAGCTCTCCATGAGCGTCCTCGGCTATGTGAAATGGACTTCCATAGAATGGCGAGAGATTGTCATATGTTCGTCCCACATTCATTTCACTAAATTCAGATTAAAATGCAGCAATTTGAGTTTGAATTTTATTGAACTTTCTTAAAATTCATAAGATAATACAAGAGAATACAGGAAGGGGGCAGTGATATTGATTGTGATGAATTAAATCTTGGACATTACTAATGGTTTCAGAAACTGCTTTAACGCTCGCCACAGTGTTTTTCACACCAATAAAGCTTCGAAAGGAAAAAAATAAATCTCTTTAAAAAAGGCTCCGCCTCGCTTTTATTTTTAGTTCCAATCCACTTCTCGGTGTCTAAAGTTATAAGATAAGGTAGAGTCACTCGTTTCGTATCTCCATAAACTAATCAATTCATTATATATTGTAATAGCAATCTTGTACTCTGCACGAATGGACGTCACAAGGTTTAAGACGGAATCAATCACGAAATTGTGAATGAGTACTTTTAATTTTAAGTGGACAAAAACCTTGTACCAGAATAATTTAAACAATGTTGCATTCTTTTTTACATTTTTCAAGGACAATAGATGTAATTAGTTATCTGTAATAACACCAAAGAAAATTTTGCATGGGAGCCTGAGAAAATAAATGTAAAATTTTACAAAATGACATCTTTTATATGAAATTTTCAGAATTTTACTCTGTTTTCACAATTCTAGCGAAATTTGACATTTATTTTCTCGGGCTCCCATGGGAAACTTTCTTTAGTGTTATTACAGATAACTAATTATATCTATAGCCCTTGAAAAGTGCTAAAAAGAGTGTGATATTGTAAGGTGTTTGTCGAATGAAAATTGAAATTACTCAATTTGCTGATGGATTCCATCTTAACGTGTCAATGAATTAGTTTTACTTTCAGTCGAGCCCCATTTATTTTCATTGTTTTTCAACCAATTGAATTTTTCAATCATCTTGAACTTAAAAACAGGAAAACACGGCTCGGAAGTAGTGTAAAATTGTTCCAAGATTTATATAGGAAATCATGATCGTCAAATAGGTCTGTCCTAGATTATAGAAAAGTACCATATGAAAATCTACAATATTCTTACTAGGATCCATCTTCGTCGTCTGTTCTCATGCCCCAGTTATGGTACGGGTCAACCCAGATAGGATTTGATCTGCAGTGGAACCGTAAATTATATTTAAGTTAGAGCCCAGATAAGAAGAATGATAGGACAAATTGCTCGGAACATGTTGGAATGCAAAAACACGGTTGTTTCACTTCTCAAACTCATTAATAATTAAAAATTATATCAAAAAAATGCAAAAGAAATAAATGTTTAATGAGTGTTTGGAAATCAAATGAAAAACTGGTCATTTTTGCTAGCCTGAATTTCATCCGACTGCTTCGAGTCGTTTCCTCCTCTCGGCAACGTCGTTACAGAGGGATTAATAACTACTCGAAGTAATCGGATGAAATTCAGACATCATTTTTTCATCCGTAATTTCTCCTTCCAAAATCATTTTGTTCTTGCCCAGATCTCCCTCTGTGAAGCGTAAGACATTGTCAGACCTGGGTACGAGATAAGGCCTTAAATGGATCATTAGTGAGCTTAAGCAAAGACGTTTTTGAGCGACGCACGTCAATCGGAAGTGTTTGTTTTTATTCTTGGGAAGTCGGTTTGCCCACATTTGCGGCAAATCGTCTTTTTAAGACTAAAGGCACCAAAATACAAATTTTAAAGTACCGTAAAATTCCGTAAATAAGCCCCGGGGCTTATATTTTTCGAATGCCCTTTTTGAGGGGCTTATTTTTGGAGGGGCTTATGTTCGGAGGGGCTTATGCGTCTCAAAATCGATAGGGCTAGCCTTATAGTTGGAAGTAAATTTACCGTTTTTACTTTGTTTTACTTTGTATTTGAGGGCAGTTTTCCAAGTACAAGGGGCTTATATTTGGAGGGGCGATTTAACTTAGGCTTTTTGGCGTTACCGGTTTGTGGGGCTTATATTTGGAGGGGCTTATACGTGGAGGGGCTTATTTTCGGAATTTTACGGTATAAAGGCGGCAGATTAAAGAGGAAAGAGGCCCACTTACGGTTGACATGCGTCGCTCAAAAACGTCTTTGCTTAAGCTTGAACACTTGCTTGACTGACTTGACTGGTTGGATGCCTTTGTGTATAAAAGAATCTTATAATCTCGAACTTGTGTTTAAAAGTTTGATCCTGAACAGTGCGAATGTGGCTTACACAACACTCAGTACTCGTTCGGCTCGACACGAGTAAATTTTTAAGAAATTAAAAGCAATTGAAAAAGTGATCACATATGGAAAATTGAGAGCAGCAACTTTTTTTCACTTAAAAGTGAAAGAATTTAACAAACCCTTCAGAAATATGCAGGTTTGTTGTCGATATCGATGTAACGGTTCCATTTCCATTCACTGAGCGGGAACCTGCAAGAAACAGGAAATCAAGTAGTTTGCTCGCAAATAATTATATATTCCAATTAATAGTACATTCGAAATCGAAAACCCAAAAAATTACAAGGTAGGAATTACTTTTGCATGTTTTATTCGTTTGTGCTCAAACTTTGCAGGATGGTAGAACTTTGTATTCCAAAAAATCCTATGTTTTTTGTTTTTCGATTTTAACGTTTCTTTTGGCGGGAAAATGACGTCACAAAAACATCGGGTTTTTTGGAATACAAAGTCTTACCATCCTGCAAAGTTTGAGCTCAAACGAATAAAAAATGCAAAAGTAGTTCCTACCCAAATTTTTTTGGGTCCTATACGCCCACCGTGATAATTTAATATTACTTCTGTACCTGCAGCCGGTCTATGAAATATAACTCCGCCATTATAGAATTTCACGTCCCGCTCGTAAGACCGATTCACACTAGTTACATAAACGAATGCATAAGAAACCTGTTCGTGTGAAACCCAAACCCAGGCTAAAACACAAACAAAAACATAAGCACATTTTAATGTAAAGAAAACTTATCGTTTTGTTATACCACCTGTAACTATACTCGCAAATGTAATTAAACCGACAGGTGCATGCAGTCAATCAAAACGTATGTTTTCTATGTCTGCCGCTTTGGCGCAGCTTGTGTCACTTTTGTTATTATTATAGATTTATTCAGTAAATGTAGCTTTAAAATTAGGTCTCTTAAAAAGACAGAACAAGAAACCCTCTGAACCGATTATAAGTTGCTCAAAGGGTAAGCACTGAAGGTAATCATGAACATGGCTAGAATGGTAAATAATTCACCGTTTAGTTTGTATTTACCTCCATAACTGGCTGCAGTTGCTGCCCTGAGTTTTCGTTTTTGCCTAAACAAGTTTGAGAATAAAAATGCACATACAACATTTATCTGAATTAAATAACAAAAAATGAATAAAAACTAAAGAGGTGGCGAGTTTGCTATTCTATTTCATTAAAATTGCCTCCGCCAAGATAGGGTGAAGGCATCAAGGTAAGGCTGGTTTTATAAATATCTGTTATCATCAACAGCAACAACAACTGAACGTTAACTCCAAAAATAAGGGAACATTGGTCGAGGACGTACCTTTTCCTCAGCTTAAATATCACACAACAGAATATCAAAATAATCAAGAAGAGAAGGATTCCCAGGCCGATCACCACAGCTAACACCACCGGAAACTCGTCTTCTTTTTCCTCCGGAACGTGAGCCTTGTGATAAGGAAAAGACAAAACTTTCAAAACGAATTTTAAAGATTAATGACAACTAAAGTGTGTTGCTTTTATTAAGTTGACCTAAAGTTTCGTCATATTTTAAGGTTATTTTCCTGTTTTGTATCTCTTAACATATTATGATTTCTTTAATAAAAAAAGACCTGTATTGGAAGTACTTTGCACTGATTCAGTCGTCCTGTTTCAACACGGTTTTGTCACCATCACCATTATCATCATCATCATTCACCATCACCATTGTCGTCGTCATATTCGTCGTCATTAACGAAATCGTCATCATCCTCGTCATTCAGTGTAGACACTGTCATCGTCTTCGCCTTCATTATCATTCCCTTATCATTCATCTCATAAGAAAGTTTTTTAAGCATGTGTTGGGTAAAGCTTTAAGTTCATCTTATGGTGAAAACCACTATAAATTGAATTTACCTTTACTTCTTTAATTTTCCATTCCTGGAAAAACGGAAGACGCTTGTCGTAGTTGTTATCGATTTTTCTGTAAGAAATAAACATATTTTAAATTATTTCCTCAGTTCTTTGATAAGGAAAACTGCAGAACATGTTCCAAGCCGGGTATGGTACAGTATCTCGACGTGATAAAAATTCTATTCAATGAAGTTCCACTTGCATTGCAGTTTTTGGCGAATGACTTGGTTTATGACCAGGTACAGAGATTTCCTGTTGAATTTGCGCCTTATAATTTTTTAAATTATTATTATTCTTATTCTTGTTATTGAATCACTTATTGGCGGGTCAAATAACAAAATGCATGGCTGTGAAGTTAGACCACAACGGCGCTAGATTGTCATTAATTGATTTTAACGATTGTGTAAAATGCGGGTAATTAACTGACTTCCATTTTTCAAAATTATGACTGGCTATTGCCTCACTCCAACCCCTGCCTTTTTGCAACCCTCTTCAAAGAACAAGGAAAATCCTGCGAATAGATCAAATCACAATATAAATGGCTGTATAGAACCCAAACTTACTCGATGACAATACCCTTGTCAACCACCTTGTTTGTTTTCGGATCGACTGCATGAAACAACACTGCCGTCCTTTGGAAAAAGAGGGTAAACATGCAAAGAATCAGCAAATCTTATTTTCTGTAGGATAATAAAACATTCTACTGAGGCCTGCCCACCCCTTTGCCCGCCTTGTACGCCCGAGAAACAATATATACAGCTATTTCGAGAAAGGTTGTCGAAAAACGTGCACGCGACAATCCCGAAAGGTATTGTGGGTGGTTTTGAGTTCGCTGTTCTTCAAAGAAATTTGATAGAATGGCACGAGAGGCCATGGATATATGTTTGCGCGTGCTAAATGAAATCAACAAAAGTAGTTTTGACAGCCACAGTGTCTGGAATAGCTACTGTGTATTGATCATATCCCATATTTCTCTTTCGGGATCGTCGCGTGCACATTTTTGCCGACAACCTTTCTCGAAATAGCTGTAAACAGGATTATGCCCACACTCTGAAGGCCTCTTATAAAGTAATCTCTGAGCGCGAGGCCGAGGTTATTATTTTTGAGATAACCAAGGGTCACAATGTTATATCTGATTTAATTCACCTTTAAATTTTCATTGTTTTAGAACCAGCAGGCCTTTAGTGGAACAATAATTCTTTATTTAGAAGAATGACATCCTGTTCCACCTCAGTGATCTGCTCTTCCTTTTACTGAAAATGATAACCTGTTAAAACAATGGAATGGTGCAAAAATTTGAGAGAGAAAAATAAAGGAAGAATTGTCACCTGTCATAGTCATATTTTCCATTTTCATCTTTGTAATAGTTTATGTCATCTATGTTGATAATGTAACCAGTGATATTCTCCAGAACCCTGAAAAGTAACAAACCATGACTCAAATCAGTGGTGTGAAGCGCCTTTAAGGGGCGGTCATTTCTTATCGCCCAAGGGGGTGGGGGAATTTTAGGGGGGATCAGTCGTATCTGAGAACCCAACAGAGGGGATCGCAGAAAACTTTGGAACGATTCAGAGGGGGGACCACTCAAATTTGCTTGGAAAATGAAGGCATGGCGGGGCGGGGGGGGGGGGGGGGGGGGGTAGAAGGAGTATTGGGGTATAGGAGCAGGTTGCGAGATGAGGGGTGGGTGAGAGGGGTGAGGGAGGGGGATGGAGGGATTCAAGGGGGGGGCAAAAAAGAAGGTCGGGAGGGAAAGGAGTACAGAAGGGGGGGGGTGGGGGTTGAGAGGCGTTGAGGGGTGAGGAGGGGGGGGAGGCGTGGGGGCGTGGGGGGGGGGGTGCGAGGGATCGCGAAAGTCATCAAAAGTTATTAGGGGGGATCATTTCAGTAAAGTAACATTCAAAGGGGGGGTCGGCTAAATTTCACCTTGCTTAGCCCCAAATCCTCCGTCTCCAGGCGATAAATAATGAGCGGTCCCTTAGAGTCTGAAAATAAAGTCTTAACAGGATAAGAACCAGTTTTGATGAACTTACAAGTTTTTGTCAGAGAATATATTTTTCAGGGTTTGATGTGTAATACTTTTTCCTCCTTAAGTGTAGCGCCTGAACGTGTTTGGCAGGTTTTGGGTGAAAGTTCAGAGGAATTGCAATACCTAGCCCTCCAGTTTGAGGGTTTAGTGATGGGATAATGTCCTATCTCCGTTAAAAGACATCATGAGAGAGGTTAAGCATCACGTTTACGTCACACGGCAAACGCGAATTTGTACTACGTGACCAAGTTTCCCCTTTCCTAGTCATTAACTGTTCATTATTTCAACACATTAAGTAGTACTTTCACGCAATTTTTTTTATAAAGAATTGTTTTGAGCCGTTTTCATCTGCTCATTTTCTATTTTGACAAATTCTCAACTTGAATCTGCCGTATAATTTTACTGAGACCAGACACAGTATTCAAAAGAGCTGGAGAAGTGCGGGGGCCTTGTGCCCAATTAAATAGAGAGTAAGGAGGCAAGGTAAGGTAAGGATAATAATGTCTAATCAAAGTTACCGTTTCAACTCATCTTGATTTTCACGAACAAAATCTGGTGATCTCCCTGAGATAATGACAGCTCTCTGGACGTCAGTTAACACATATATCTACAAACAAGCGGAAGATCAATAATGTACAGTAAATTATTTTGTACACTATGAGTTCAACTGGCTTGAAACTGTACAAAAAAATTGTGGAAACATTTAACCTACCTTAACTTCTGCGGTATCATTTAGATACGGTTCTTCACCAAAGCGATCCTTGGCGATGACATCAACGGAAAATTCCTTCCCAAACTGCCCTGCGTAAGATACTTTGGCTTTGATCCAACCAGTCTCACGGTCCATACTGAATGCTGTGCTGTCCTTTGTGTTCAGTAGCTCATAAGCAATACGGCTGTTGTTGCCCTCGTCAGAATCCGTCGCCTAATTATTAAAGAAAACGTCGATTCACTAGTTTCCCTAACCTAAGTAATAACTAATTCCCTTTTAGACAGTGCACTTTGAGTCTGCTACACCGGACATATGGGTGCACCTGACTTGAAACAGTGATCGACAAGTGAATCGAATATATTTTTTGTTTAAATTGAACCGAGGAAAATCCTGTAGTACCATAAAAGAATAGCTTGAATTTGTCAAATTGTAACTGAAAGCAAGTTTAAAAGAGCTTTGTCATGAAATTATCAACATTCAGCAGTGGCCATACGTGTGAAACATATAAAACAACTGCTTAGAACGTTGAAAGAAGGTATGGATATAACTCGACGAATATAACGAATGAAAGACAAATAGACAAAATTTTAAGAAGATTAAAACAGATTTCACTTGTATTTTTTTCAAAAAATTGTTCTCCTGACGGTTTTTCTATGTTCATTTTTGTTGTTTGCAAGGGTTGAAGGAAACATCTTTGTCTAGACCATGAGGTTGTGATTTTGTCATTCACATTGCTTAGTTAGTTTCATAGCGAATAAGACCTGTTATCTAATATATAGTTAACATTATAGACAAAATGAACAAGCCAGCCCTGACAGCCCCTTTAACTGCTTATTTTAAAAAAAATATCGTGGCGGTGCTCCTTACAAAAACTTGAAGAATGTTACTTCCGTGTTGTGCATCCTCTGAAACTCCTAAAAGGTAATACATGAATAACAGTGAGCGTGTTAAAAAAAGGTATAAAGCAAAGCACACATTTTTACTGAGTGCAAGAATTTAAACAAAAAAAAGCTTTTACCTCCAGTGTAAAGTATCTTTGAAAAATGTGGTCCATTATCGTTTTTATCTGTAATCTGTATGACAACCAACTGAACTCCAACGTCATCTGTTTTAAGAACAGGTATACCTCAGTAATACGTACCTTATATCTGGTAATTTCTAAATGTAAATGGTATAAAGCCACAAAAAAACACTCGATACTCAGACGATAATAGCGCAATAAAACATTCGTTGATCAGCGTAATTTAAAAACATTTTGGACGAAGTAATTAGACTTCGTCGCACATAGTGGACGCAGATATGCTAAGCATAACTAGGCAGCAAGCATGCTCCTTTCTTTTTTTTTCTTCAAAAAATAATTAAAGCCAGCGAATGCGATTGAAAAAGATCAAAGCATTTCGTTGGCACTAGTACCAAGATGCATGTGTTTTCTTTGCCATTGGGGAACACTATAGGGTCAGTTCAGTATATTGCTTTCTTTTTTGACACTAAAAGCCGATTAAAAATCTTTTCTGAAACCGATGTGTGCATATGATCCACATGGCAAACATTAAAGTAAGAAATACAAGGTATAATCAAAACATACTTGGTATTGTAGCGTTTGTTTGATTCGAACTTGCATCTGGGATAGCTCTCCTGTTTCTTGGCTGAAGAGTATTTGGATCAAGCTGTAAGTAAGAGAAAAAGAAATAACAACAAAACAAAAACAAAACCAAAACGATGAGGCGTACTTCTCACAGCTAATGCAAAGAGCAATAGATATTGGTAGAAGTAGCAAAGCAAAACAACCGAATCTCAAAGCCGATACTGGATCCTATTAAGAAAGTGTTTACAAACCTTTACATTTGAGGACTTTATATACAAAAAGAACTGCGACTTGACCTCTCGATCCTGTTAAAATAGGATAGTTGAAAACCAGCAATTGTTAGTTTGCTATCCTAGACTGATAACCGGAAAAAACTTAAGGTTGGTATGAATAAAGTCTTATAAAGTTATCTAGGATGCCACGAGCCCTCTGCTTCACTTAAAATGTAAGCACTTATAATAAATTACACTGAGAAAACTTAATTTGTTTCCTTAACTACATCCAAACAATTTGTCCTCCAAAGTACTTACAATCGGGCCTGTCGTTCTCAGTACTCCTGAAGTCTCGTTTAGGACGAATACATTCTCGGTATTTCCTCCTGACAATAATAAATAGCTGTCTCTTAGATTAACAGATAAAACAGATTGTCCGGTCTCCAAGTAGGAGACATAAAAAACTGTCCTCTATTAGTAATTAAGTGCTAAATCCGTCTCCGTAACAATCTTACATGTAATAAGTTGGTTCATTAATCGTGTTAATTGATGAGTGGTTCCCATTGGAGCAAACGTGCTAAATGACTCGTAAGCCTTGTTAACCCAGTTTAAACTTGGCTTACCAAGCTTCTTAACATGATGGTATTGTTTACGTTTACCTTGGATGTAATAGAATATTGGACCGTCCTGGTCTGCATCAAAGGCTGCTATGGTCCCTACTTCTGCCCCAGCAGCAAGATTCTCGCCAACCGATAGCGTCACTTGACGCTGAAAATAGTTATAAAGCTTAACAGTATAATTTTTAATCCATTGGTAATGTTACTGATTTAGACAAAAATGCAAAAATGTATGCACAAGTTACTCAGGCAAAAAACCTTACGAATTAATTATAACGGTATTTCCTATTAGCGGCGTTCGCTAACTCCATTACTAGGTCTTCTTACCTGCGTGACAAGCCTTGAAAGGGCAGGGGAATGGGGGAAAAGGGAGAGGGACTGAGGAGAGAGGGAAAAGGACCCTTTCCCGTTTGCCTTTCGCCCTCTTGTTCCCCTCGCCTCCCCTCCCCTTCTTTCAGCATGCCCTGCAAGCCATAGGTCTTCCAGTTTAATTACTAGGATTTTTATTTCGGTTGCATACTGGTACGTGTACGCGCGCAATTCAATTTTGGGCGCGTGCATTATTTATTTATTTAAATTGCGTGTACATTTAGTTCGTTTAATAACGTCTTAGTTTTGCTTTGCGTTATTTTCCTCACTTATATGTGTTGTCCGCGACTGTGCTCACACGGTGGGTGGCTCCTCCTAAAATGTTCTGCAATTGGTATAGGATTTAATGGAGCCGAAACCAATTGTGGAATTGCACGCATTTTAGGCATCCTACTGATGAACAGTTTGGACACGTAGATATATTTTTTACCAACTACTATAAATTGCAGTCTGTCTACTTTGAATTTGAATTTGAATACATACCTCAACGAAGATTGGACTGTTGTCATTGATATTCTTCAAGGCAACAGTTATTGTTTTCTCGCTTGACAATGATGGGCTTCCCAGGTCTTGAGCTTTTATTGTAAGCTGTTGATCAAGACAATTATACTTCGAATAAGAGAGACTGACGTTCACTTATTCTTTTAGCTGGGAATTAAATGCTTGTTGGTAAGACTAACCAAAATAAAAATTAAAGCCGTCCGTAATGGTATCTGTTCGCTAGAACAGTAAAATCATTATATAATCCTTTTCATCCTTTGTTTTAGTTTCCTGGTGAGTAATCATTTCAAGGTCACTTATTAAACTGCTCAAAAAAAAAAAGAGTTCAAAAAGTCATCTAGAGTCTCTAGGGACATTTTCAGGCTTTGGAGGTAGACTCTTCTCAAAATAAAAAAAAAAAAGACTTGAAAGAGTGCAAGAGAATTGCTATCTCTCCCATCGCAGTAAAAAACGAGCCCTTTCTAGTTACATAGTTCAGCCATGGCTGTCTATGGGATGAAAAAAAAATGAGAATTAAGTATTCATAACGTGTGTTAAGGTATACTTTTTATCAACAAATAACAAAACGTTTTGAAAGGATTGATATTATCAGCGGCGTTCTGTGCGTCGTATGAGGATCACGAAAATCATATGACGGTCGTTTGAGATAATTACGCACCTTGTATAAGTTTGGTGCTTGATCGTAATCAAGTTCCTTTAATGTTAGCAAGTCACCGCTGGTTTCATTGAGTTCAAACATTCCATCGTCATTCCCACTAATGATTGTAAACTTTATCTGGGCGTTAGTGCCAGTGTCTTTATCGGTGGCATTGATCGATGTGATCCTAGTTCCAATTGTCGCATTCTGTGAAAAAACGTCAAACGTCATGGTAAATTATTGACATCTAGTGTTAGGTACTCCGGTCTTTAATATGGCTGGTTTCCCTCATTGGCATATGAGATTAATCTGCTGCACAACCCTGTTTTTTGTCAGACACACCATAGCTCGCTGCTATAGCACCAAGCGCATATTAAATAAGTACTGTAGTTTCGATTCCTTAATCTACCGGTGGTCAGCTCGAAAGCTATGCTCCTTTGACCACCATACACATCTCTCAAAGCCAGTCTATCTTTCCTCTTTTATTTGTTATTTTATTTCAATGTTACTTTCTAATCAATGTAAATATAATATTATTAAATGTGAATGAAAAAAGCTGAACTCAACTGAACTGAACTCGGTTTATAGCAATGTTGTATATCGAATTTTGTCCCTCTTTACGAGCTTTGTCATTTTCTAGGTTAAGTTAGTCAAATTGGTCTGGGGATTATAATGAATGATTAATTGATGAATGAGTGAACGAGCGAAAAAAAGAATGAATGGATGAATGAATGGAAAGAAAGGTCGTTCACTGAAATGGAAGACAGAAGACTGTACGTATTGAATGAAAATACGATGGATTTTTCAGGACTTTTTCGCTCTGTAAGTTTGAGTGACTAATGTCCCTGAGACCAACGCCGTGTACGTTAAACAAAGTAAACAAAAGAAAAATTAATAAAATGATAAATAAAAAAGTGATAAAGTTGTACCTCAGGTATGATAAATATTGTTTGTGTGTGAATTTCTGGAGTTTGATCATTTGCGTCTAGTATGGTGATATTGATGGTAGTATTACTGGACAACGGTGATTGTCCCTGGTCAGATGCAGACACTAAAAGACTGTAAAAGTCTTTTATCTCACGATCCAACGGTTTTGCTTTAGATAACTCTCCTGTGGCATTGCTTAGGATAAACATTCCTAACAAGGTAAAAATAAAATAAAATAAAGTCGAAGATCGGATGAATCGGTTGCTTCACCGTAATTTTTAGGGAGTTATTATAACTCCAAAAATGGAGTAAAAATTTTAGGTACAGGATAACCTCTTTTTGGGGGTTACTGTAACTCCTAATCTAACTCCGAATTTGGGGTCATTTTTACTCCTGAAAAAGAGACAGTTCTTTTTACTCCCAGTCTGGAGTTAAAATAACTCCGAAATGGGGTTATTTTTCCTCCTTACATGGTTTTTTTTACTCTTTTTGGAGTTAACTTAACTCTGAAAGTGGAGTAAAAATATTAGGTAAAGGATAACTCCATTTTGCCGGTTATTTGAACTCCTCAATATCTGGGGTCACTGTTGCTCCTGAAAAAGAGTTGTTTAAACTCTTTTTTGGAGTTACAATAACTCCCCAAAAAATAGCTCCACTGTAAGGAGTTAAATTAGCCCCACTAGAGGGGTTATCATAACTCCTTGGAAATTACTGTGTTGTTAAAGCATATAAGAAGAAAAATCAAACTGAGTAACTTTATTCGACGTTTTGATGTATCTGATATCATTGTCAAAAATGGAAACTGTTAAGTGTCAAAGTTTTTAAAAGAGTTGAGATCTCATTTCATTAGATGACATTCGTGTATGCTTAATTATTATACAGATGTCGAAAATAGCTTTGCGTGAGGCACTTTTTCTTTTAAATGCGACTGAAGTAATGCGACCCAAAAAAATGTAATAATAAGTCTTGATTCACAGTTTATGACAAGGAATTTTAATGTTCAAGAGAGAAAACCAAATCCACCTTACCTTCTTCATTGCCTTTGATAATTGTATAGATAACCTTAGCGTTATCTCCTTGGTCTTCGTCTTTTGCAGAAACTGTTAACAATACTTTATCTTCTGCATCGCCAAGAGCTCTGGTGTCCTCCACCACAGATTTCACATAGAACGGGGCCTCAAACGTTGGGGTAAAATCATTGACGTCCAGAACCGTAACGGTAAGCTGCAAGAAAAGTAAAAGTGATATATACTATTATAGAATTTTGATTATGTCATTCAGTTATTTCACCTTATTTGTATTATACCTTCGATGTAGCCTTATTAGGGAAGTATAATGGGGAAACTTCAGTACGCAAACTTTCCCAAATTCACTCTTCCCCCTCTGCCAGATCGTTTTCACGCGGACATAGGGAGACAATACACCTCTTTCTTGGACGTAGGGTTATGTTCTGCAGCAAGCAACTCTGGGTCTTTGCGCGTTCGTGAGAGGCACAATCCTGAGGGGAAATATCTGCACATTTTTTTTGAACAATTTCTTGAAAACAGTTAAGGTAAAGACACATAGCTTTACGCTGCTGCACTTTTGCTAGCTATAGCTTATTTTCCTTCAGTTTTCTATGACATTTTTCAACGCAAATCAAGAGAGTACGTCTAGTTTTGGTGACAAATGTACAATCTTAGTTGCCCTAGCATTATAAAAATTGCGAAGAGAATTTTTACAATTCTAATGCTTACAACAACCGTCGACTTTTGCTCTGTTCCATTCACTCGGCTAATCGCCGCTACTGTCAATGGATACACTGCAACCTTTTCACGATCTAGGGAAGCTCCTGTCCAGTTGAGATAAACTGTGCCATTTAACTCTCCAATGACAAACAATCTCTTGTCATTTCCTCCTTCGATTCTATAATAAATTGTCTTGTGCTCTTCTGCTGCGTCAAGATCTGACGCGTTCACTTGAGAAACAAACGCGCCTGCAGTTGCGTTCTCAAATATGCTAGCGGAGTATTCGTTTTTGTGGAAGACGGGTGCGTTATCATCTACGTCGCTGACGGTTACCAGGAGATACGCATAACCAGTGAGAGTTGGACTACCAAGGTCACGTGCCGCGATGGTGATATTGTAGAAGGCTTTCGTTTCATGATCCAGCTTCTGCCTCAGTGTAATGACACCCGAAATTGCTGACGTAAACAAAACAGACAATTTTAACACTTTATTTTTACCGTTTGATTTACTATAAAAAATTGATTACGAAAAAAATATTTTAATGCATCCAACCATTTATATAACTAAATCAACAGTCACAGGTTTATTCTGACTATGGCAGAACCCTCCAGCCGGACAGAAAAAAAGGTCAGGCAGTTAGACTCATTTTTAGCCTAAGAAAACAGCAGACATTTCGCGACACCACCACTGGTTTCCCTGCCAAATTACGTCTGCGGAACGACTCTAGAAATTCCATAGTGATGACGTTTCACTGTGACCCATTTAAGTGCTTCTGATTGGTCGTGCGGCGAGGGAAATCTGCTTTAACCAATCAGAGCTTTTCTCAGATCTGGGTTGTGACAAGTCATCCGTTCAGAATTTCTGCGCCCGTTTCCCAGACGTCATTTCGCGGGGAAGCCAGAGGTGGCTTTGAGAAATGTAGGTAGTTTCTCAGGCTCATTCATTCTGAGAAAAATCTTGCCCTGAAAAATCTTAATACAGTCACTCTTAAATACCTCGGAAGATCTCTTCCCCCTTTGGAGTATTTTGAAATCATGCAATCAAGAAGAGGGCACAAAATGTCTCTGCTCATTGAAAGAGCTTTAACGGATGCTAAAAATAGTTTTTGCGGAACCCCTTTTATGACCAAAACGTGACTAAATTTTGGAACAAATTATATGAACCTATAGAAAAAGAACTGACTGAGGCAAGAGAGCATAATGAGAGAGAATCTTAGGGTATTGGCCGGGATACGATATGTGAATTTCACTAATAAGTTATTTTTAGAGGTTTCAATTAAACCGAAGACTAATTCCTGAGACGTCCGCTAATTTTAATCGATACGCCACTTCAATATTTCCCATAATGCACTTTATTTACCCCCCAAAATTTTGCGTAACTTTTGTGTTTCATTTCTCCTGGGTATTACAGCCGTCCCAAGCGAAATTGAAAACAATGCCTCTGAAAAATTTTTGGGGGCAAATAAGGTGCATTATGGGAAATGTGCAAGTGGCGTATTGGTTGGAAAACCCACGCGCTACTGCCTCAAATAAAAGAAAGCAATACAGAATGTTGTAATGGCGACTGTTGAATTCTCTCTTGACAACACTGAATTAAATTTTTACGGATCTCTCTAGAAACCAACTTCCGATTAATTTCAGACGTTTAATTGGCCTAAAAATAAATCGAGAGCCGGACTGGAATTTTTTCCTCTCTGTCGCATTATTCGAATTCTCTCATGATTTTTAAAATATTTAGTATTAATTTTTAAAAGGATTCAAGTAAAGGAAATTTATTTACCATCTATACTGAAATGATCATCGGCATCTCCATATGCAATACTATATCGAAATTGACCATTCGCTGCTGCATCGGGATCTTTTGCCGAGACGGTTTGCACCTGAAAAAAGAAAACAAATTTTGTCATAAAACAAATGATCAATAAAATATTACAAGCCTCAGTCTTTTTTGGAACATTCTATAGAAATAGCAATCAAAATACACCACAAATGTACGCCAGCAATCGATGAGGGGATCGGTGCTACCTAAAATATTTTCTTTACAAGACTGTCATACCGTGGTTCTAAGGAATGTGCTTTCCGGTAATGTAACATTGTAAATGACTTTCTCAAATGTGGGTGCATTATCGTTGACATCATCGATGATAACTTGTACTGATGAATTGCTTTCCAGCGAAGGACTTCCGTGATCACGTGCCTAGAAAGAAATGAATATGAAAAAATTCGGGTTGATGAAAGAAGTACATATCAGAAAAAAAGACTGCAAAACGTTTTACAGATTATTAACATTTTTTATACCTTTTTTAGTCTTTAGTTTAACCCTATTCAGGCAGTTAGGGAATGCTTTAGTTACTGGAGTACTTAATAAGTTTCTTTGTTATAAAGAGATCCTTCCACGGTATTTTAACGTTTGACATCGACCTGATCTAATGAACATCTATCGACACCGCTGATAAAAGAGCCCAGAAAATAGTAAATAAAACAGCCAAATTTGAGAGTGATTTAAATAATGACTTGGAGGTAGCACATCCACTAAGTGGTTCTTCGTCTACTTGATTGGTTTTTGAGGAGAGGGGAAAACCGTAATACCCGGAGAAAAACCTCTCGGAGGAAAGGAGAGAACCAACAACAAACTCAACTCACATATGGCGCTGACGCCAGGATTTGAACCCGGGCCACATTGGTGGGAAGCGATCTCTCTCACCACTGCGCCATCCCTTGCTCCCCAAGGAAGCAAGGGATGGCTGGATTATCAATAAAGTTCGAAGGTACAGCTCCACGAAGTCGCAAAATTTTACGGACGTTGATTGGATGGTGAAGACACCAACTTGCTCTTCAACGTACAAAACGTCTATAAAATTTCGCGACTCTGGGCAGCTACTTTTTCGCCCGCTTCAAGACAGATGATTTTCAAATTTGGCAAGTTTACTAAATTTTACGACGGATTTTCCTCAAATGATCCCCATCAAGGTGAAGGGTCAGGAGTGTCGATCTTTTCCTTGATAAAGCCTCTTGTATACAAAAGTTAGCTTTTATTCTTACAATAATCACAAATGTAAAATTCGTGTTTGTCTCTCGGTCCAGCTTTCCCGTTGTTCTGAGACTACCTGTTGTTTCGTTTACTCCGAGGGGAAGACCTAAGAATTAAAAAAAAAAGAGTCAGTGATCAGATACGGACACAAAGAAAGGTTGAAAGTTATAAAAATGACATCACTCACTTGAATTGTCTGCATTAATAATAAACGATATGAGTTCGTTTATCCCTTCGTCGTTATCTGAAGCGGACACCGTTCCCACGAGATGATCAATATTGACATCTTCAGAAACATGAAAGGTGTAACTTGATTGGGAAAATACTGGTGAATGGTCGTTATCATCCAATACAGTAACAATAACCTGCAAAGGGATAAATCGATATAAAGAATGACTTATTGAATTAATTAATCAAGTAGTGAATCATTCATTCATCTATTCATCCATCCATCCATTCATTACTTCACTCCTTCCTTTATTCTTTCACTCATTATACTTCGTTCGTTCGTTAGTTTATATTCATTCATACCTGCAGTTACGCATTCATTTAATCAAAACCAATTATCTTATTTTTTGTTTATTTCAAAACACCCAGAATTGCATGTAGGATATCCAGTCGAACCTGTGCTGTTCCCTGCCGGCTTCTTATTGCGTCATCAGCGGCCAAGACTGTCATGGTGTACGTTTCGGCACCAGCTTGCTCTCGGTCTAACACGACAGCAGTGGTTATGTTGCCCTTGAGAATAAAACAAACAGACAGCTGTGAGCAAACGAAGATAAAAGCGAAACAAGGTTAAAACTATCATATTAATTCATGGGCGAAGACATAACCCACATAATAAACACAGAAAGACACGTCCGTAGGCTATATTAATAGACTCTTTTTTTATTTCTACTAATATAGGTCCTTCATTACGTGTAGGCGAATGGCATCACCCATATTGAAAAAGTTCGACAAAACGTTACCCTTGAAACCCTCAATTAATGAACTTGAAGAGAAGTGAAATATACTGTAGGCTTTCTGTAGACGCTTCATAATTCTAAAACGTACCGTGTCTTGGTGGATATTGAAACGGAAGTTCCCTCCCTGTAGTCCATAAGAGAGGCGGGCATTGGAGCCTATATCATCATCCGTTGCCGTAACAACCAGAATAGGCGTTCCTATTGGCTGATTTTCCATGACATAAGCACGGTATTCAGACTTATTGAAATGTGGGCTATTATCGTTGATATCAACCAAGACGAGAGATACGTTAATCTCGGAAGACATCGATGGCGATCCCATGTCAGCTGCACGAACCGTGAAGTTGAAATACGACGATATCTCCCGATCAAGTAAGCTATCAGCCTGAGAAACAAGGCCACTGATGGGGTTTATTTTAACGTAGTTGGTCGCATTACCAACAATGCTGAATCGTATGTTGGCGTTTATGCCAGAATCAGCGTCGCTTGCACTAATTATAAGAATACTTGTGTCTTTAGGAGATTCTTCACGGTAATCTTGAACATAATCAGGACTAGAAAACACTGGAGCGTGATCATTAACATCATCAACCTTGATAATAACTTTCACTTTTTCCGATGTCATGTTGACGCTATCCGAAGCCGTCACGTATATTATGTGTTCAGTCATGTTTTCTCTGTCGAGGGAATTAGCAGTCGATATTACACCATTGGTTCGGTTAATGTGAAAAAACCCACTGGAAACACTTTCCTCAATTGAATACGTTATGGTATCACCGATATCTCTATCTAGTGCTTGGACCCGAGTGACAGTTGTTCCTATAGACGCATTTTCCGCCACACTATATGTGAGCACGTCGCTTTCAAAGTAAGGTTTCTCATCGATGACGTCAGTGACGGATATATTGATTTGACAACGTCCTTCTGGCGCGTTTTCTCCAATGTTAGCTGCTGTTACGTAAAGTATATAGGAGCTTTTGAATTCTCGATCCAGGTTAGAGTCCAGTATTATATCACCTAAAAACAAAACGCAATGCAATTCACCGTTGGACACAATTGCCCTTGTTTTGTATCGGACTTAACATATACAAAATTAGTAGGGGAGAAAACAGACAGATAACATCAAATGTTGTGCTGATGACTTGGATGTATTTTGGTAAGCTGTTCCTTAGAGTTCTGAACGTTTTGAACTTACCGATATAACAAACACTCGAAAGAGTATTTTAAAGGTTTACAAACACTTCGGAGTTGACACAGTATCTGATCCTTTTTATTGACTCCCGCACCAAGAATGGTGTGAACATCAAATACAAGAAAAATCCTGGTAATGTTCATTCTGTAAAGCAAATGGTACCATGCAAGAGCGCTGCCGGAAAGAGTTTATTTGAAGGATCATGCAATAAGTTTGAGATATATGTTCAGAACTGCACGCATCATCTCGTACTGTTTGCCAATCCTCTGACCATTTTTTGGCCAGATTTGCCGTTTGCGCCTTTGCTTGCATTTCTGGGCATAAGGGAAGAACGGAGGGTGGGGCTCAAGGCTTAGAGGCACTAGGTTGCGTCTTTTTTGTCAAACAGGCTTGATAACACTCTTTTTTGTTCGATCACACCCAACGTTATATACAATGGAACTAAATTCTATTGACCAACCTGTGGCTCTGTTGATATAAAACTTAGCATCCGCTCCAGTAGAGGTGTAGGTGATCTCTTTATTTAAAACCAAAGAGTCCAGGTCCGTGGCTGTTACCCTCCGGACCGTGGTGCCACGAACAGCGTCCTCGGATACATTGGCGTAATACACTTGCTCACTGAACCGGGGAAGCTCATCGTTGACATCTGTTATCCTGATTACCAGTGGGACAGTAGATGTTTTGTTGCCTCCATCTTTAGCCCTTATTGTTAAGTAATAAGTGCCGTTTGTTTCTCGGTCAAGAGAGTTGTTATAGCTTGAGGTTATAACCGCCGTTGTTGAGTTGATTTCGAAAAGATCGGATCCAGGACCTGTGCAAAAGGAAATAGAATAAACCACTGCTAGGTTGTAACCAGCGGTAAAACCCCGCGAGTAAGAATCCAGGTTCTTGGTCGCGGGGTTTTACTGTAGTGAACACGTTGAAAAGAAAGCGCGAGATCGATGAACGTTAACTCGTATAATTGACAGGTAGTCAATAGCGTTTCGTTGGACTGAGAATACTCGCATTAAAAAGAACGAAAGACCAGGCAAGTAACTCTTCAGAGCTAATATCAATACATGTACTCTCCACACCGTTTTCCATTCATTTCTTTTGACATATATGGGGATAATTTGTATAAAGATCAAGTCGCGTCATCTTTGGTGAAATAGCAGTTCCAACACAAATTTAACCGTGAAGACCTTGGTCACCTTTACTACTTGGTTTCAATAAACTGAAAAGTGTCAAGAAATCAATGAACCAAGCTTACCTTCTAGTGAAAATGTTATCTTAGCATTCATTCCTTGATCTGCGTCCGTAGCACTCACAGGTACCTTCTGCAATGAGTAGAACGTAACAACAAATTAAATTGCATCAGCTGTTCAACAAGTGAGCGGAGATGTATAGGCCCAGTGGCGGGGCTTTAGACTATATAAAAACGTTGTAATTACATGTTAGGTTAATTTTATTAATCATTTTACTGAGGCTCTTCTCAGCCTCGCCCTCAGCATCCGGTACTTCAATAGTTATTTTTCCCAAAAAACCAGAAGCAAATTTGAGTTGCACGTTGATACATGTTGCAAGCATCATGTTGCATCACCACATTAAAGGGAAAGCAAGTAGAAACATTTCTTTCCATTTGTTAAATTTACTTCATAAACATTCTCGAGTTTTTGACACTAAGTCAGAACTAGATAGCCATCAGTTCGTTTCAAAAGGACCAGACTGTGATTTGTCAGGATAGGAACGATGTTAAGTTCGTCCTTTTAAAATTCCGCGCATTGTGATTTTCGTAAAAGTGTGCAAGCTCCAGTAAGAAGCTCGTAAACAATTGTAGACAGCAGGTTCTGTCCAAACTTGACTTACTGGTGAAAAAACTTGCCTTTGAAATCGGAAGATTCCCTCGTAATGTGTTACTTACAGGTAGAACAGTCGTTCCTGCTATTGAGTTTTCTGCAATCTCTGCTTCATACGAAAGTTCTTGGAACAGTGGAGGATTGTCATTTTCATCAAGAACTTTGATTACCAGGTCTGCAAACGCCTGAGATAACAAATGATATTATGACGTATTTAACATTAACAATTTAGAATGTTATGATATATCGAAAACGTCAATTACAAAAAGAGTGATTTTAGATCTAATTCTCTATCTGATGGTATTGTGTGAAAATGGTATTGGGTGAAATAAAGAGTAGATTGAAATGATAAAAATAAAATCTCTTTTGATATTACATCAAGAAGTACTAAAAACTGAATAACTGGACAAAGGAATGAAAGACAATGATAAACAGGATGGCGAAGGCAAAGACGATATGATGTGTTGGTAAACTAGAGATTTTCGAAGAGGATGCATGTTAAACCACACCTTTCTGCTAGAGGGATGACCACCATCTTCCGCCTGAATAGTGAGCGAATATTCGCTAATCCTTTCCCTGTCAATTGAATCCTTAACAGAAACCACTCCAGTCTGATTGTCAACTTGAAAAACGCCTCCTGTATTTCCACCGGTGATCTTGTAAGTCACGTAACCATTTTCTCCTTGGTCCTGATCTTTTGCGTAAACTGTTGCAACACTTGTGCTCGTGTTGGAATTTTCCATCACGTTGGCAACGTACGATGACGTGTTGAAAACTGGGTCATTGTCATTAACGTCATCGATCATGATGGTAACAACAGTCTGAATGAAAAAAAGGAATATATGCATAAGCTAAATGCCTTTAGTTAGCAGCGTGCAATGCCAGTGGGCTTTATAAGCTCACTTATAAGGAAAGCTGGATATACTTGACTAGCGCCTGACTCAGCAATTAATCAGTATTGACTCATTCATGCATTATAGTGCTGTGCGTTGTTAGTATATTTCTCTACAGATCGATGAAAGAACTACAAGTTGCAATAGCTGCAATAGTGCTAGTCTTTGCAATTTGTTGCAATTTGTCGGCTTGGTTCAAAACTTACAATATTAAACCTCCTTGGTTGCCCTTCATCTTTTGCCTCAACTGTCAGGTTAAACACAGATTTCACTTCCGCATCGAGTGCTTTCTTCACTAGGATATATCCATTTGGGGATATTTCAAACTGCCCTGTAGAATGATAGAATAACGGGGCTGAAGAGAAGTTTTTCACGATAGATCGAAAGTGTCCTTTATAAGGGAAATATATAAAACTAATCGGCTAGATGAATTAAAGCTGTCAAAGACCAGTTAGTAAGTTCTTTCCAACAGTCCATGTTCTCCGACACAAACGCCAAACTTATGGTCCCCCTTTACGCCAGATGTAAGAAATTATGTTTCTAAATTGTAGTTGTTTTTTTTATATTTAAAGCTTCTGAAATTTAATAGAAAATTCACGTAACGTTATTAAATATATGAAGCTGACGAACAGCAGTAATAAGCATCCTAATCAGGGATTCCAGCTTGACATTTCATATGTCATACATTTTCAATAGTAACAGTTTTCGAAGCAGGGAGAACAATGGAACAACAATGGAAACTCATTCCAAAAAAACTGACAACGGGATATCCGAACTAATGGGTAACTTTTATTGTTGAAAACGTACATGTTGAGTAACAGTCGAAGCATGAAGTTTACGATACTTGTGTTTTAAACTAGTTAAGATGGACACTATGATAGCAGGCCCTTACCATCTGAGTTTCCGTCCGTGATATTGTACACAACTTTGCCGGCAAAACTCAGATCCTTATCCGATGCGGATACCTGGATCACGTTACTTCCAGGTCGAGCGGCCTCGCTAATTTGAGTGTATTGGGGCTGATCAACAAACTGAGGAGTATTGTCATTGATGTCGTTAACTGTAACTGTGACCTGGAAAAATAAGGAAAATAAACATTCATTTTAAGAAAATAGAACGAATTAGTATAATTTATAAATTTTCGGAAAAAATATTAGATCTTTTTCTGCTGATTATAACTGACTAACGTTGCATTTTTCACGATCCCCCCCCCCCCCCCCCACACCCCCACCCGGGTTTTTTTTTTTAAATTTTTTTTTTTTTTCTTTTTTTTTTTTTTTTTTTGTTTTACTTAAATTTTTTTTTTTTGTTTCTCATTTTTTTTTCCTCTCCGGTTGGTTTTTTTTTTGTTTTTTTTTGGTTAGTGTTGTCGATGTCGTGGTTTTTTTACTGTAACTGGGAACCGGAAAAAAAAAGAAAAAAAAAATTTATTTTAAAAAAAAAGAAACAATTAGTTTAATTTATAAAATTTCGGAAAAAATATTTCATCTTTTTTTTGTGGTTTTAACCGACTAACGTTGCATTTTTCACGCTCCCCCCCCCCCCCCGAGTCACCCACTCGGGATTTTACTTTGTAAATTCTTTGAGTTATCACTATTAATATTGATATGTAGATTCAAGTCAATAGTTTTTACGGTACTGCCATTTATCTTACCCGTACGGTTGATGATTTTCGTGTATTATTAGGTAAAGCCTGGTCAGTGGCCGTGATGTCTAAAGAAAACACTCCCCTTCCTCCTGCATCCAAAGTCATCTCCGAGTTTTCCCTGTCCAAGACTTTCTTTACACTTAGTACGCCCTGAAACAATGGAAATAACAAATGAGATGATTATAGCCAACTCGGCGCTACGCCCCTCGTTGGCTATCTATCATCTCATATCCAACGCGCCCTCGTGGAATAATTGTTAATTAGACCTATTTCATTTATTTATTTTTTCTTTTCCGTCCTCTTCGTCGTGGTTGCAGGAACTAGGGTTACCGCGCAAAACAGTTTTTGATGAGCAAAGATTTTTGTTGAAAAGGGGAAGATTTGATAGAAAACGCGTGACAAAAAAGGACGGCCGCAGGTACTCACAGAGAAGTTCATTATGGACTATAGCCTGCCCCACAGAGCCGAAATCCTTGCTCCGGGTTCCTACCTGTGTACCAGGATTTGAGTATGTGCTATGATTGGCCTGTTAAAAAAACCCTTTGTCGAACTGCCAATCAGGTTGAAGGGAAATTCGAAAATTGTTTCCGCAGTTCATTAAGTCCTTTGGGGGCTCAGAATAAAAAAATCGGCGCTGCTTAGCTTGTCAGACGTTTCTAACCGTGGTCAAATTTCGTCTGCAAGGCAAGTTATATAGACCAGGGTTCTGGCGAAAGTATCTAATAACTTAGTATGAAAACTGTACAAAACCCACCGTGATAGAATCCACCTGGAAGTATCCATGGTTATCCCCTGCCATCGAGTACCTGATCTCGGCGTTTGAGCCAAAGTCCTTATCAGTTGCATTGATATCAATAACCACGGAATCTACACTGTCTGGACCCTCGTCAATAGACTTGATGTAAGTTGAAAGCGACTCGGAAGGGCTAGGTTCAAATTCAGGAGAATTGTCGTTAATGTCCAGGATGGTGACATGTAGCACTGTGGAATCCTGTGAAAAATATGGGTAATATTGAATCAGCCGCCCAGTGTTCTAGGGTTGCAATGATCAGGCATTACTTATCAATGGCAAAAATAGGAAGAATGAAGGAAGAAAGACTATCATAGCTCAGTCATGTTGCGGCAACTGACTGTACGATCGGAAGCGACGATCCCACGAAAGATTAGTGTGGTTCGGGAATATCCGTTCATACATATTAGAAATAGCATTGGTATTGCTTATCAAGTATTTGATTTACTTAGTTAAGTTGGTTTGAAGTATAAGTTGAAGAAGACAGTCACCATAAAAATAACAGCAAGCAGAGTCTTGTAGCCTCCCGTTATCAAACAACTGCCTCAATGTAAAACGCATAGGACGACACTGATATTAATAGCTCTTTCCCTTAATTTATCGAGAAATTTGGTCATCTTAATGCAAGTGACGTTTCAAAATTATACTCACCCAAAGTGTTGGTTGTCCACCGTCTGTGACATTTATGGTAATATTGTAGCTGGAATGAAGCTCCCTATCCAGTTCTGTAGGTGCGATTCGTAGAACTCCTGTGTTGCTATTCAAGATGAACTGCCCATTATGCCCAGAAATCATAGCATAAGTCAGAATCTTATTACTGCCTTCATCCTTATCTGAAACTTGCAGTCTGTAAACAACTGTTCCACCTCCATCAGCCTGAAAAAAGTATCAAGTACTAGCTCTTAATCACGGTACCTGGGTAAAGCAAGAGAGGGGAGAGGAAATTGTCGCTTTCCCTAATCCCCCCCTTTTCGGTCGCTCTATTTTTTGCCCGCTCTATACAAGGTGAACACCTCGAGCAGGCGGCTAAAAATGGCTGTACTGTTGCAATATCTTTTGATCAGTTGTTAGGGTTAAAAAAAATGTCCAGTCCATTAACCTATTGAATGCCACTTTAAGGGTCCTTCTTTTCAAGAATAGTGCTAACGCGAACTTAACATGAGCAATTTATTCGACCTTTCCTATTACTTGTTTTGCTTACTGCTGCTTCAAAGTTAAACTTAACTCTTTTTTTCACACCGGTAAAAAACGAAAAAAAAAAAGAGTATGCTAATCACTGTTGTGTTAATCAAGATTAACAATGAACCTTAAGAAGTATTCATTTATTGTCAGCACAATTATCATGCAGGCCAATGGCGCGGTCAAGGAAGACTCATCACAAAAATACCCCGTACGACCATCACTGTTAAATCTGCACTAACATCAGCCCGTCATAAAAAGCATAATATTCATGTTGTAATCATATTTAAACTTACCTCACTTATATTTGTGGTGATATAAGCACCACCGTTGATGACGGGTGGGTTGTCATTCTTATCCAATACGGTTACTATCAAAATTGTTGTTGTGTTTCGACTAGGGATTCCATGGTCAAATGCCATTATCTGTATTCACCAAAACAGTCATTAACGTTTGCTCACATCAATTAATATAGCCAACAAAACGTTATGGAGACAAAGAAAGATTAGAGTATAGCAAAGATAAGAAGAATGGCTCTTTATAGAGGTTCAACCAGGGAATTGAAAATACATGAAATGGTAAATTCTTGCTGTGCATTCGCCATTCGCACATCTGCCGTAAGACGATTTTTTCCCACCCCACAAAAATTCTATAACATTTTTTTAAATATGTCCTTGGTGTTACTGTCATCCCAAGAGAAATGAAGACATTATGCTCATGCAAAATTTTTAGAGGCAAAAAATGTGCATTTTGGGAACCTTGTGCGCAAGAGGCGAATTGTTGGATTGTGGTTTAAAATTGGCAATGCATAAACGATCTTACTGTTAGTGAATAAGATGAGACGGTTTCTCGGTCCAGGATCTTTAACGTTGTGACAACTCCGCTGGCATTAACTGCAAACGTATTTCCAATATTTCCACTTGTTATGTTAAAGGACACCTGAACATGCCAAATAAGGAGAAGATTATCATTAGTAGTATATCAAGAGTGGAAAATACCTCGCTTTAGGCCAAGAACACGTTAACACGAACTAACGCATTTCGTCGCGACCGTTGACTCAAAAGAAAAGACCTCATCGAAATAACTGTAAAGTATATTTAATATTCGATTTCACCCTCTCCATTGCAAGGAGTGATTAGTTTAATTGATTCGCTGTGACAAATAGCGCGAGTTAACATGGGCGAGCGGAGTTATATTAAAAACGTTAGAGTACATGCAGGTAGGGAATTGGGTCATTTATAAGTTATTACCCTTCCGTTGTCTCCACTATCCAAATCTGATGCTGACACCTAGCAACAGAGGGAAAGAGAACACTGTTATTCAGCTGGAATTTTTACAAATGTACCATTAATTCTTTGTATTCGGTAAGTTGAAGAAAAAATTGCTGTGAAGACATCGCGAGATGAAAAGAAAGCTTGGCTGAACGGACAGATTTGTTTTTACCATATCACTTTTCACCATCGCTCCTCATTACTTATGGAGATAGTAGATACATCCACGGTTTTTTTAACTTTGAGTGAGACCAGTATGTGATCATCCGACGGATGGAAAGAACGCCTTAAAACCAGTAAAGATGCCTATTGTGAACTTTATTCTAACGAAGATCCAGCACCGAAAAGTCGCGGAATTTTACAGACGTTTGTATGGTGCGAAGAAACTTCGTACCTCGCGATATTGTCCACAAGGTTACTCCGAGGCCATTTACTGTAACGAATGTGTTTTACTTACCTGATACACCACAATGTTTGTCTGGTTTTCCATGATACTGACAGTGTAGGGTGCGTTCAAGAACACCGGGTTGTTATCGTTAACGTCTCTGAGTAACACTCGTATTTTAGTGGCGTAATTTTTGCTTGCGTCAAAAAATCTTCCGCCGTCATTGGCCAGCATGAAGAACTCGAGCATCTTGTTGTTTTCGTAGTCCAATACCTTCGATGGTTTGATGGTACCATTTACGTCTACTGTGAAACTAATAAAAAGAATTAGAGATTAGTTAACTTTTTAACTGTTACAAAATAGAGGCATGTACCATCAAAAAGCGACCTTTAATGCTTAATCTTCTGTTGTTCACCAATGCTGCTGATAATGGATTTTTACCTTGAAGCGTCATTTCCATACAGTTCATAGATTATCGCTCCATATGAACCGAGATCAGCATCTGTAGCCTGAAACATGAACAACAGAACGACTATATTAATGAGGAACAATAGAAACATGTTCTCTATAGGAAGTAGCTTTTTTTTTTCTGTTTATTCACGACTTTTTTCTACTCAAATGTCGTCGGGTCCTCTCTCCAAATAAGACAAATGTACTTGACTGTGTACCCCTAAATTTTTAAGTCACCCAGGCATGGTTTCATCGGTTCGGTCTTATCAAATTCTGAAAGTGTTCCTACTTGGAAGAAAAGACCATGAATGTCCAACTTTAACGCAGGGCCGATTTCTGACACATGACAAGTGACCATCAACACCGGCAGAAATTAAGCTGTGGAACGGTATTTGGAAGTGCTCATCTGAGTTCTTAGCGCTATCGATATAGGAATACTCAAGCTACTGGATAAATGATACGTAAAATGGGCACAGTTAACCTCAATCAGACTAAGAGAGCCTATATTCAGTTCACAGTTAAAGAAAACCTACTGTCACGGCTCCAATGGCAAAGTTGACTGGGATCTCTTCATCGTAAGTGAAGTTGTAGGAAGTCTGACTAAATGCAGGCTCATTATCGTTAACATTGATTAGTTCAACTGTGATATAGGCGACACCCCACAGCACCTCGGAGGTTTCTGTCTCGTTCGCAAATACCTAAAAAGAATGATGGAATCAAGAAGATCTTACGGTATCCACGCCGAATTACCCAAGGAACTTATTAACAAAACCAGGATGGAAACCTAAGATGGCACTGAGTCCTTTGAATTTTTGACGTTATCAAGACACATAAACTTTCTCATTATAACGAATTTCTTTGACCAAAAAAACATAGACTTTGGGCCTAACTATATGCATTGTAGAAGGTAAGGGAGTTGAGGGGTGGTCCCCACCACTATGAAGGCCGAACGCTCGTTTCATGATGAAAATATAAGTTACTGTTTTTAAGGTTCTGTGGAGGGAAAGAGCTGCTATGTAGCTTGTATAACCCTAAAGTGAATTCAATAACTAACAGAAAGAGAGTCCGCAACTCCCACTGCTGCCCTTTCCGCCAAATAAAACTTGGCTAGACCGGTTGCAAGACCGATTTGCCTAATTTTTTTGTCCTGGCGGTATAAAAATGGAAATAATTAATTAAAAAAACACACAAAAGTACTTCCAAATAGAGAGGTTGAAATTGCAATTTTGAACTGAAAGGCTTCTTGAATATTTCAGACTTCTAAAAGCGTCCTCGTACATTTACTTACCTCGAACGAATAATTGGATTTTTCCTGTTCATAATCTAAGGTGGCATTAATTTTTAGAAGTCCAGATGATGGATCGATTTTGAAGTAGGTACTGTCTTTGCCAGACAACGAATATGAGAAGCGACGGTTTTGAGGCTGAAGGAAAAAAGTAACCATAACATGGCTTAGGATTTTAAAATTGAATAATCGTAGTAGCGCTCACTAGGTTTGAAACGAAATGCTTATAATCATATCATCACCAATGTGGCAAAAAAGACAAGGAAAAAATGTTTTACATGAGCACGCTGGTTCAATCAGTACGTTCCTACCATATTGTATCAAGAACTTAACAATAAGCGAAGCTGAACCAACGTTAGCAAACCTCTTTGTTCACAGCTTTATAATTTACTGTAAAATTAAAAAAAAAAAATGCCCACCAAAGACCGCAAGGATTAATTGGATAACCCCGCGTTCGAAATAGCGGAAAACATTCCTAAGAATTGGAGTGAAATGACAATCGGTGATCTTGAGACACGTAGCAAGCATCTCCATCCCAGATTTTGAAGAAGGGAATAATGTCCGCTAGCTGGATTTGTTCTCGGTGGTCCCGAGTTCAAATCCTCGACCACGCTTGCAAATAGCCAACTCGTTCGCCTCCGATACGGCCAGTTGGGATTCTTAACCCGTTTATGTTTGATTTAATTTACTTGTTTCAGGAATTTGCTCGGTACCACTGGCATTAGTGCTATAAATACTGCCGAGGGTAAACAACATTAATTGACTAGTCGTTTAATCATTCTGCAATCTTTGATTACTATAAAGCGTTTTCGTATGAAGTCTCGTTCACAATATTGATGCCCTAAATCTCTGAAACGGCGGTCATGTTGGTATTTCAAACCAATCCTGTGGGAGTTGAATTCTTTTCTTATGTAAACTCTTTCTTTTGGTCCAATAAGTTTACATAGATGTTGGCCACGAGAGTGAAAACACTCTATAATATAATTTGATTGATTACTTAGCGAATCCATTCTTGTCACCTAGATCTGATCTGTTTGTCCGCGGAGGCTAAATATTCATGGCCACCATATTCTGTGATCGAACAAGAACGATGCACCTTTAATTACAAGCCGGGTAATCATCCGAAATCTCTCATGAATAAGTATTGGTTTCTCTTTCTATTTTGTACTTACGTTGATATCCTTATCTTGCACATTTAATTGATCTGTTACCATGTAACCAGGTAAAGCTAGGTCTTCTCTGATTGCGAAGCGGTAGCTGTCCTTTAAAAACGTGGGTGGGTTGTCGTTCTTGTCCAGAACGGTTATCAACACAACAGCGGTAGAATTCGATGATGGATCAACTACCTCCGATGCCTGTTTGATAAACAAAAGCGAACTTAAGGGTGAAAGACAAACTTAAAGCAAGGGCACACATTCACCAACTAACGGCCTGGCCAGTACTTCACGCATGCGCAGAGCCATATCACCCTGGCAGTGGCAGCCATGGACAGCTGTTTCGCCCTTATTAGCCATGGGGCTCATCAGTATGGCAAAGCTGGGGAGAGCCCGTGTCTCGAAGACTCCTTTTTCCTGCCAAGGTGAGCACAAAGCACTCCCTTTAGGGTGAAATAATAATTATTGGTATGAATTACATCGTCTTCTTCCCATGGTGTATTACGAAACAATTTGATGACAAACCCCCGGTTGGCGTGCAGGGTTAATAGGTTAGGGATCAGCTGCACCGATATAGCAAAGTCAGGGTTTGAATCGCGGCAAACCTGATTGTTATTTTTCAGGCTTTCTTTCCGCAACTGCTTTTCTTACAAATTTAACTGCGAGGATCTTCTGTACATTTATTTTAAACTCAAGGATGTTTAAAACACAAATTTTAAGACAGCATCTAGAAAAGTGGGAAGAACAAATTTTGATTACTCGGACAATCTTTCCAGATCTACTCCCGCTGCCTTGTTTAATGTTTGTATCAAATCCCGTTCATATGGTGGATGAGATTTAATCAAGTCTTGTTTTCCCATTCCAAAATAAAGCAAATCTCAACACCCGTTTACCCTTTCAGAGATTATCAAAGGCTATTTGCCTGCAGTTCGTTATTATAATTGAAACTCAGACCAACACTTTAATCAGTTTGCTAGAAGAAACGTTTGCAATGGGCACCCGCTCTATTGTTAGTTTCGAGTTACTTAGTAGGTGCCTGGAAAGCTCTCTGCGAAATTGGGCGTCTGTAACAACCCTGACCATAATTAGAGGAGTTGCTGAGGCTGGCCGGAATCATACAGTGAACTGAGTCAAAACTTACTCGAACAGTGATCCTAAAGAAATCAGTCCTCTCAGCATCCACTGTGCCATTTACAGTGATGTTACCTGTGCTTCGGTCGATGGCAAACAATCCGTCATCGTTACCTGAGAGTGAAAGGAAAAAAAAAACGATTAGAGTCATACCCTTTAGCAAGGATCTTGAAGAGTACTTATTTTGCAAGATGATTTAATACTTTAAAATCCATTACTTGCAGTGTTTCGTTGACTTGACCTAACGGTGTTTCAATTTCCTTGAATATTCTGGAGCTGGATCATCAACTACTTATCTTGAAGATTTAAGAATCTAACAGATTGAATGATGGAGAAAAAAATGCGTTGAACCACATCGCACCAGATTATTGCAGCTCACGGATCCTTCTTATTTCTAAGGTGTTGTGATTTAACTTACCACTAATTATTTCGTAAAAGACCTCGTTGCCAACACCAGCATCTCCGTCGACCGCCTCCACTTCCATAACCATGGATCCCTGGAAAATATAGAGACACAGCTAGTTTCACTTGTCCAAAGTACACCAAGTCATGTACGCGTGCCGCAGCCGGCGTCAAAGCGTAAACTAACAAAACCCGTTGTCCAAAGAAGAGATTAAATATAACTATGTTCTACATAATTATTCCTCCAGCAAAAAGGATGCTAGTTGATCTTAGGTGGACTTTAAATTGTGCGCTGCTGATAACAGAGATGGAATGCCAGGCAGGATCTAACAGTCACTGGGCTATCTTATACACTGTGCCAAAATTACCTTGGCCTTGTTTTCATAGATTTCTTCAAGGTAAATAGATCTTAGAAACTTGGGCGGATTGTCGCTAACATCAGAAACGTCGACTATGACTGTTGTTTCCGACTGCCGAGCGGGGCTCCCGCCATCCTAAGTGACAACAACAGGATCAATTCGTCAATCAATCAAACAATCAAACAATCTATCTAACCATCAGGCATTGAGGCACCAAGTTGTTATACTTAGCAAAGGGATATCTGCATAGACGAATCATGCCGTGTTTAGACTTGAACGATTTACTGAGGTACGAGAGTTTACTTACCTAGGTAAACAATTTTCGTGTGTAAACGCTAACTGATACCTTGGTAAATGCCGCAAAAGACAAAAGAAATTTGACCAAGGTAAAAGTTGTAATTACCCTGTGATCAGGCATGGTTACAGTTGGTAACCAAGGTCAAGATGACAGATATATCCACTTGTGGCGGTGTAATATGTCACATCCCGCGGTGAGCAGATCGTGCGATTGTCACGTTTTCGGCCAAGCGTTTCTATCATGGCAGATAACAGAGAAGTCAGAGAATGATTGAACGCCTTGATATCCTGAAATTTTCTTTCCACCTATCCTACACGAAATTTCCTTGTAAAAGGCTCTCAAACCAGAACTGGTTTCGCGGCCATGCCCACGCACCATCACCACCATCCGCTTTCGCCTCGACCTCTTGAGGTGTTATAACATCAACATCTTACGAAATCTTGACGTTTCTGTTTGCAGCTCTTGAATTAAGAAAGAAAAACCAATGGCCACAACAGCCACCAATTTACTTCTTGAAGCGAGCATGGTTTTAGAATTTCCCGCCAGTTCGATTTCATAACGTGGATAATGCAGATAGCGGGAGTGTTGACAGATCAACCTGATTTATTTGAGCTAGTGTAAACACTGGACGAATGTACCAAGGTTAAGTAACTTGACCTTAGTAAACTTTTACCTTGGTAAAAGCTAAAATGTAAACACGACATCAGTGTCCATTGAAGAGACAAATAATTCGCCCAGGTATACTGCACGGCAAATTAGGACGAGCTGCCTGTTGTCTGCAAATTTCACTGACGTTTCTAGGTATTATTTAGACATGAATAATCCTTTCTGTCAACATGGCAAACGGTTTTAGCTGAGGTTGAATTTCTATTCGACCCAACATTTGTCTGATCTGAACATCGGATTTAAGACTACAAATTTTTATTATGAGAAGTCTAATTCGTTTTCAGTATAAAAATTGATTCGGATATCAACTATAATCACTTAAATCTCTCTCATGCATGTGAACGAACGTCAAATTTTATAGCATTCGTCGGCTTACCTTTGCAGTAACAAACAAAGTATAGCGCTGCTCATTCTCAAAATCAAGGGGACCATTGAGAGTGATTCTGCCATCGTGGTTGTTTATTGCAAAAGTGTCAGTCTGCAAAACAAAAGGAAGTGAAATTGTTTTCAAATGGTAAGAGATGGATGCCCAGTAAAAGTAAGTGTCAAGTCTCTTCTGGACATTCGATTAACCTCGTCTCATGATAAGTTGAGTCAGTCAGTTGAGGACACACACGTTAACAAGTGCAATTGCACATTGATCAAAATGGATTTGCTTTATTTGCGCTCCATTTCTACTTCCATTCTATTTGACTAAATAAACGCTGCGTAAAATGTAAATCTACGAATTGCCAATCGTCGAGTAGCCTTGTAACTGACTAAGTCCCTGTATTTAACAACTTTATCGCAACTGGCTAATTCTGTGTAATTACGATTAGTTATTTACTTGTTTATTTCAAATCGGTTCTATCTGATAGTTAAGGGGCGGACCATTAGAAAAGTTAGAAGGATTTGCGAGCCGCATAAAGTTTGTTTTGTTAAGATTTCCCAATGCAAGCAAGAATTTTTTTTGGTCAACGCGGAAACATTTTTAAGGGCTACTCAGTGTGTTTGAATTTTTTCATAGGATTTTCCCTTGCGCGAATATTTTTTTTATACTTCGTCTCCGCCACGCCTCTTTCAACACCTTAACTTTTCTAAATGGACTGTCCCTAATTCTTCGCTTTTATCCGCTGGCAGAAAGAAATCAACGAGAAGAATCCAGTGAAACGAAAACCTTTGAACACTGCCATCGTCATGTCATGCACCGCTCAAAATACTATCTAACCGTATCGGGTAACCTGAGGATAGTCGCACCCCTTCCTTTGGGAAAAACCGTAAAAGGTCGTGGTTCCTCTCACAGGCTATGTTCTTAGAGGAAAACTGGTAGGAGAAGCTGAGCCAAGATGAACAGCGACCTAACTTGCAAACATGAGTGCAGTTTACCGTGACCAGAATGATCTAATAATGGGTCACAAGAGAGTTGGGCAGAGAATAGAAGAGAAGAGAGATTGAGATAAAAGCATCCAAAACTGAAGTAAAGCAAAAGATGTGCTAACCTTCCACGGATTAACTGAGCCCTTTAAAGACAAACCAAAATAGGAAGGTTAGCTAAAGAAGTAATAGCAGACTTGTGTAGATTCATCCACTGGCCACTCTATAAAGCAAAATTTGAAGCCTAAAATCCGGATAAAATTGAAAACTAATAATAAAAAAACTTTCCACCCCAACTGAAGTCCTGTTTACTACTTCGGCGACAGAAGAAGCAGTGAACCGGACTTCATTTAAGGCCGAAAGCTTTTATCAGTTTTCAATTTTATCCGGATTTTAGGCTTAAAATTTTGCTCATAACTAAATTGCATTTTGCTGAAACAATTAGTTGGTAACTCTTACTGTAGGAGATGCAAATGAATACGACATAGCTGCAAGTAACTTCATGGAGAGTATATATTGAGTACGTGTTTACGATGAAAACAATAAAATCAAAAATCAAAAAAATCAAAAATAAATCAAAAATTCAAAAAAATTAATTATAAAAATTAACATAAAAATTAAAATAATATTTGTGTAAGATAAAATAAAATCACCCTTAGTATTGAATTTACGGTAGACAAAATAATTCATAATACATCAGCAACTCTTACCTTTGTTTGAGAGCTGAACATGTAAGATATTTGCGCATTCTGTCCAAGATCGTTATCGAGAGCATTGACTTGAATCACAAGATGACCGACAGTCTGATTCTAAGAAAACATAAACAGCATTGAAAAATATTATTAGTATTTAACTGTTTCTAGATCTTGCCGCTTTAACCCTCGGACGTACACGCAAATTCATGCCCTCACCGTGGTACAAGCGGGGGGGGGGGGCTGGGGGCTTGATGGAGCCGCTCCCGTAGTTTTTGATATGTTGCAGTATTTTGAAATGATTTTACCTTAAAGGGGCTATGTCAGCTGGAGAGCATGCGCTCTGAGGTTATGCAAATTACTTTCAACTGTCGAAATTCTATTGTTTTTAACGCGTGACTTTCTCCATGTGCGCTCTGAGGTTATGCAAATTAATTTCAACTGTCAAAATTCTATTGTTTTTAACGCGTGACTTTCTCCATGTTCTCTGTCACGTCCAAGGCTTCGAATTTAGAGAGGTTAACAAGCGAAATGGGTTTAGATAAGGGATATTTCGATAGAATTCACGGAACGTTTTTTCTCTGGTTATGCTAGATCAAGAATAAAATTGTGACGACAATTTTACTTGTAGTTTTGAAGTAAAAACGCATGCCATTTATAAAATAGAGCGCAAACAAAAATTCAACAACAACATATTGTCTTATTCAACAAAATAAATCGAACAGGCTGATCGAAGTTGTATTTTACAAACGAACTACAAAAGACGCTAGACCGAAGATAAAGACCAAGACTGTTTCAAATCATTAACAATTAGACTTGTCTGTCGCTAGTGATTTTATAATTTAGATGCTGATAGAACAAGAGACATCAAGTCTTTGTTTTGATCTTAGGGAAACATACATTATCGCGCAAAATTGTTCGATCGTGCAGAATCACTGCGACGTCGAGAAAAACAGAACCAAGCATCATTGGTATACTACTCCACTATAAGCAGTCCGTTGATAAAAAGGGAAAGTAAACTCAGCCGCCGCCAACTCGATAGTCGCTTCATTATATGTTCACATACTTTGAGCACAAGAAAAATCCAAGAGCCAGCAGCCTCTAAAATAACTCAATAGAAAGGTTCTGTGAACTATAGGTAAGATTCCATCAAAGATTCCATCACTCGTGGAGTAGCCGTCATTAACTCTGCCATTACAACGGCCGCTGATAAGAGGACACAGTAAATCCACGTAAAAACATTCCACAGGAAAACAATTTCAAAAAAACGAAAAAATTATTCTGTAATCACCATAGAACGATTCTTAATACAAAACTTCGCTAACTATCGAACGATGGCTGAGATTTACACAGATAAAAACAGCCTTCCAAAATCTCCGACACAACTTGAAAAAGTCGGGCCTACTTTTTCAAGTTTGTTTTCATTGGCTCGCGCATGCGTGTGGGGTGACATAGCCCCTTTAAGTGTAAAGCTTTTGATCTTCTTAACAAGATGAGGTGTATTTTAGGGGTGGTGGCGCTGCTGGAAGCCTGTGACGTCATCAACAATGGTCACGATCTTAGATTTTACCAAGAATTAGAAATCAGGTTAAAACTGCGAGAAATGTTAATTTTTTGTACTTTACATGAAAAATAACACATAAATAAGCACTTGCATGATTTTAGCCACAAGATTAATTTTTGTTGTTGAAAGAAGTTGAAAAAACGTATATTTTCACCCAAAATTGGCTTGTCCACCTGCTATTTATGACGTCATTTCTCGTAACCATAGCAACTGATCGTCACCAAACTTGTCTCAAAATGTGCGCGAGGGATGAACGAACAGCTACTGAAAACGTCAGGTACTGATGTTTTATCCTCTAGTAAAAAACTCAGAAAAACCTACCCCCTCTTGTACGCCCGAGGGTTAAGATCCAGCAAGCTAATTTGAGAGTCAGCTAGTCTACAAGTCTTCTTATGCATTGATTACTAGCTACCCGTTTTTTAAAGTTTTAATTTTTCATTTTCAGAGGTGAGACACCGTCTAAACTGACTCCACCAGGCACAGGGTCCAGAGGAGATGTGTTTGTCGTTAGAACATCAAAACCCGTCGAAACCCTCTGAAAAAACGGGTTGTTTTGATCGCGTTACAGTTTCGTTACACATTCTATGGACCGCAAACCAAGAGACTGAGGGCTCGCAAGATCGGCTTACAGTATAAAATACGGAAAGGGAGGAAACAAATTTGGGGCCGATTTTCGAATTCCTGAAATTCAAATGGAATTGAATGAAATCACCTGATTTTACTAACCCGATCTAGAATTCTTATGTATTTGCCAAATACTGTAGGAAAACGGCATAAAAAAGCGTTCAAATTCATTTTCGGCGACCGAAATTTACGGCTTCGAGATAGCGCTTTCGTTCGCTGTGCACCGCAACAGACGGTGACGGAAATGACATAGTAAAGTAAATGTGCTCAAGATCGGAGCAATAAAAGGGGATGGTAAGCCTACACGACTTTTACCTCATGCCAAAATGCTGTTCCTTCCAACAAAGTGTTTTCCTCTGCTAGGTAGATCATGCTCTGGAAAGTTCTACATTTTCACTGAGCAAATGTGATTTTATCCGCATGTTTCACACTGAGAGGTCATGACACATATCGATTTACTGCGGTTATTGTTTCTGGTCGGCAGAATTTGCCCTCTGATGCAAGCGCATTTTCTTTGACCTCTTTTGCCGTGGAAGCTTTTTATTACAGCTGAATAAGGGTTCCAATTTTCTCCAAAGTGCCTTCTAGATCTGAATAACTAAGCGATTTTCTTTAGTATGTGAAGGTAATGTTTTTCTGCAATGCTGTATCACGCTGGGCCCAGCTCGTTAGTTTTGTTTGGAGAATGTTAAATTATTACGGATAGTGATTACAGGTCGTGTGTACTCTTGAAATAAAACGTGGCACTGAGTAGAGCGCACGTACAAGGCAACTGTAACATCATCACGACTGCGCCATTCTTCGGTGGTCCCAACAGTGGTACCTCTTGCGTCTTTGGTTGTGCGTTTTGCGACTACTGGGAAGCCTTTGCACAAGCGAAACCTGCTTAAGACATCGAAGACTGTTGACATGTACAACAAATGTCCAGTCTTAAAAGATCTTCACTTCAATTAAAACTCTTTTGCCTTCGCATAGATCTCTGAGATCTTTAAAACTCCCTCCGCAGCTGATGTTTTGATTCTCGAGTTGCTATTGCGTTTCCGGTCTCATTCACTTCCGTCACCGAGTGATGCGGTTCACAGCGAACGAAGTCACGTGGCACAAGTTTCCTCCCTTGTCCTTTTTTTTACTCGGCACTTCGTGCCCTGGTCGCCCTTCGGGCTACGTTCCGTGCGCCAGCAAGGATATGGCTTGCGGTTATTGATTTTCAAAATGGCGAACAACAAAGTCGATCTTGGTCAGTTAAGAAGCGAAGAAATCGTTTACAGTAGATTCATTAAGATCCCATTGGGCTAATTAATCGTGCTATGCGACAGGTATAGACATTTTTCAAGGTGAAACTTTAAATAGGTAATTCATTTATTCACACGAAACTCCTCTGGACCCTGTGCACCAGACGCACCTTCGTTCAAGGAAAGGTTTGTTGTAGGTTTCGCCCCATGCTAGGGAATCCAGGACAGTCTTGGATTCTGGATTCCACGTAACGGATTCCGGATTTTAGGTACTGGATTCCAGTCTTTGTCATTGGAACTTGGATTCCGGGTTCCTTGAGCTGTATTCCGGATTCCAAAGCCCAGGATTCCGGATTCCACATGCAAAAATTTCCAGGATTCTGGAATTCGGATTCCCTTACATGTTATTTCCAGGATTGATATACCCCAAAGCTTTAGACCGTCCCAGGCTAGGAGGGATTGGCAATAGCTATATAGAAACTTATATTGACTTCCTTGGTCGAGAATACACCCATCTCTCTTTAATTCCTGGCCTGTATGACCGCTCGCGAGATCGACGTTTCCCGGATATTTCCTCAGAAACTCCTTTCTGATTACTCTGGAAGTTTTGGGTTCCAGATGTAAATTTGCTCACGCTCTGTTCCTTCCTTAACGATTCTCTCAAAAGTTTTGCCGCGAACTTAACGCCAGCAAAACTCGAATGCTTTAGTGTCGTACTAATTCACTGGCATATCCTAAACATTATATTTGTAAGAAATGACTGTTTCTTGGTAGATTTAGGGCATTGTATAAATGGTCTTTGACTTTTGTCTATCATTCATTTGCAATAGCTGAAAGAGTTCGGGAAACTTTTATTCGCATTTAAATGGTCCTGCCACAAACTCGCCTCCCCGAGGCTTTATACTACAAGCGCCTGTAAAGTGTCGAAACTTCGTAGGGCTATATCCTGGAAAATTTTCTGATTTTAAGGCCTCTTTCCTGCTGTGGTAACACATTTTTGCCTAGTACATGTAAAAACCGCACAGAAGGGTCTTGACTAGTGTTTATTCTCGTTTGGCATTAACACCCACGTCATAAAATAGAGCAAAATAATGCTTACCTCTGCAACCCTGGCCAAATATGGAGTGCTGACAAAAACAGGAGTATTATCGTTTATGTCCAATACGATCAGGTAAAACAGTCTTTGGGCCTAGTGATGTAAAAAATTATTGATATTTAATATCATTTTCTGATAGTAATACCTCTATAGACTTTCTTAAGCCCGGTAGTTTCCGGTTTACGTCGCTCGTTTTCGCTCCCTTCATAACTGTCCCTCGAGCCTTTGGCGCTCATCGCGGTCGACTCATTGGCAATTCTAGACCGTAATTATACATATGAATGTCGATCTGTTACAAGAGGTGTGATTGGATTACCTGTCGAAAGTTTAAGTCACAGCCAGAACACTTATCTTCAGCAGTCACTGTGAATGTATGCTGGTTCGTCGTCTGTAAAAAAAATAACAATCGGCAGTCACAAATTCAGTGGATTAACAGACGCTGTAAAATAAGCATGCGCGCCGCCAAATGTGTTTCATTCAAGGCTGGACTAATCCTTTTTTTCATTAGCCTGAATTTCATCCGATTTCTTCGAGTCCTACTCCCTCAGTAACGTTTGAATCGGACCGGCCGTTAATGCCGTCCAGTGACGTCACCACTCTTTGACCTTTGCTTTAATTCATGGCGAGAAATATCGTTTGGAAATGTCTGCATGATACAGAATTGCCTTATTTGTTTTCGATCGTAATTGATGTTTAACGTTCAAATTATCAACTGCATGCAGTACAACTCTGAACCGGTTGTAATTCTGTAATCAGCATGCAAACTCGGTCGCAATCACCCAATGAAATAAACACACACACGGAACACTTGGTTCAAACTGACAATGATTTGCTTTAATTGAATTGCAGAAAAGAAGCTATTTGGTCCTTAACGAAGAAAAAGAACAAGGAAACAAGAAAGAAAAGCTAACAGAATCATTACACTTGACGGTGAAAAAAGCAAGAAGGTCGAATTATAACATTGTTCTCAGAAAATTAAACTTCGCATGAACAAAATCACCGGCCGCCGAAACCACAAAGCGGCTCTAAATGAAAAACCTACCGAGTCTCCGCAATGATTCTTCATTCGCAGTTCAATTTAGCATTTCAGTTTCGAAGACAAGGGCAATTTTACTGTTTAAGATAAAGATTAAGCTTACCTTAATGTTTGAACTACACAAAAGAATGCCAGGGATGCGATCCGCTGAATATCAACAGACAATCCCGTTAAAATTTTTCATAATAATTCATAATTATGCGAATGTTTAGACAATCAACCAATCACAATCACTACCCAGGTTTTCGGGTAGTGAGTGACGTCACTGGACGGCATTAACGGCCGGTCGATTCAGACGTTAATGAGGGCGGGAGTAATAACGACTCGAAGTAATCGGATGAAATTCAGGCTATTTTTTCATGATCCTCCACTACTTTTTTAAATGGTCGGAAAAAAAATTGAAATTTTTCGACCTGCTTTATTTAAGATCGTCCGATTCGAATTACCTCTGACATAAACCACATTTTTCATATATAGATTTTTTTTACCCGCTGACTTCAGCTTTGAAATTTACAACTCGTTTCCTACTTCTTTTATTTTTATTCCTATTAGGGACTTGTCAGAAGTTAGCAGGAGGGTAGGGGGTGGGAATTTTAAATTTGGGTTCGGAAATGTGGTGACCCATCCCTGCAATAGGAGTGAAATTTGCTAACCATCCCCTTGAGCTTGGCCTAAATTATCATGACCCTCCCCTTCTTGTATAAATGATAAAATCTAGTTCTTGCAATACACTAGGGTGAGTCAGTATTATGAAAACTCAAAATATATTTCTAATCTGTTCTTTGTAATGCTATATACATGCATTTTAGATGACAGCATTAAGAGTCCGACTCTGATTCTGGCAGCTGATCACTCGACTCTCCTATTTCTCCCAAGTTTTTTTTTACCAAATGAAGCACTTCCTTTTTCTTCTGTGTTTAAACCTCTATATGATCACCAGGATGATCACAGGCATATATTTGCATGACCCGCCCCCTTTTAACAACCCATTTTTCATGACCCCTCCCTTTTCTGAGTCTCAAAAAGCTGTGGCCCTCCCTCTGTTTCCACCCCCCCCCCCCCCCCCCCCCCCCCTTCTCACCCACCCCTTTTTTTTCCCAACAAAAACTCCGGAAGCCCCCCCCCACCCACCCCTTGCCCGCTCTCCCCGACCCTAGCCCCGCTCGTTCCCCCCCCCCGTTTCTCATCCACCCAACCCGCCAAACACCCCGCTTGGCTTCCACCCTCCCCCCCCCCCCCCCCCTGCTAATTTCTGACAAGTCCCTTATTTGTACCAAAGGAATCTGGAGACCCCGAGCTCAAGTCAACTGTTGCCGGTCCGCGCTAACGCTAGCTGGACTTGTCCTCACCGAGTTCATCTACTCAACCAAGCTCGTAAATGACCTGGTTTGCATCCAGCCAGTAGGGATTCTTATTTTTATGTTTTTTTCCCTATCAATTTTGTTTCTGTCCTTATTTGTGAGCCACAATAAAAACTACTATGTGACTAACCAGTAACTGTGCTATTTTTTTTTTTTTAATAACAATTTAAAATTTATGTAGAATTTCCAATCATTGAGAAGGGAAGACAGGTGACGTCTGGCACTTCAACGGCTTAAGAACTATCTATTACTAACCTCTTGATCAAGCGCTTGTTTAAGAGTTAAATTGCCGTTGTTATCGATGTTTAGAAGCTCTCCACCAACCGGATCCAGAGAAAACACAATCGGATCACCTTCTTCATCTCTGGCACGAATGACGGCAATGGAAGAACCTGAGAACATCGTTCAGTTTGTGAGATAATCAGTTGTTATCCGGATGACATACACATACGGTACCATATTTTGACTGTAGACTATAAGGAATTAATATAAGCCCACTGACCCTGTACTTACCTACTGTAGCATTCTCGTAAGCTGTAAACACCCTTTGACTATCATCAAAGAGAGGTTTCTTGTTTGCTTGTGCTAGAAAAAGGGAAAAACGATAATGCAGCAAGATGAATAACCTTTATCACCAGTTTGTACTGGAGCCGAACAAACGGCTGAAATAAATCATTCAAATTATGATAATAATGATGGTGTAATGAATTGATGACGGGTGATGATAAAACAACAACAATAATATACCGGCCAACTCTCACGCATTATGCGTGAGTCTCACTCCTGCGGACTAAAGACACCGATCTCACACAGCGAGGACAATTTCTCACGCCTGACTTACATTGTCCTTTAACACATGATAAATAATGAAAATTCAATCCAAAAAGGCATTAAATGATGACTTTGTGACCTTTTTTGTGTTCTAACGAAATCAAAGCACATTAAAAATGTCGTCTTCTAAGTAGCTTCGGAAATCCTCAAACGTCTTCGGAACCTGAGTCTGCGGACATTTTCGGCAACAGTCGGAAGTCGACGGAGATCTTCGGAAGTGGCCGTGACGTTCCGGAAATCCCGGTCATGACAAGGTGAAAGTCACACGCATTTGACTCAGAAAAAGTTGGCAGGTATACAATAACAATCTCAACTGACTTAAAATCTAGTAATAATTTAACCGGGTGACCTGACGCCAATTTGATTTGTAACTTACTAGCTTTTTCGCAGGAATTTTTTGTCGGTGGCGAGACGATGGGACTTGTAATTTATTAAGACCGTACATTTCATAATGCTAAAGGATATCTAAGACGTCTGCACCTATTAAATACCTGGCAACGTTATGTAACATCAGACTTCAGGCTCCGGTTGTTCAAACGTTAGATGGCGCTATCCACCGGATAAATCGCTATCCAGAGGATAAGTATTAGGGAAACCCGGCAATTGCGTTGACTGGATAGAGATTTAGTTAGCCATGGCCAATGTGTAGCGTTATCTACGTGGTTATCTACCTTTCGAACAACTGGGCCCAGACGTTTAATTTAAGGTATGATGTTTAATGCACCCGCGTTACCGTCCCAGTTTTTAATATCATGAAGACGCATAATAATTAAGAATGATTTGCACTCGGGTTTATCGGCGAGAACTGACAACTCTAGTTGGTCTTCAAAGCGAGCCTTCAAACTGGGTTTTAAGGGTTAATTAGTAGCGGGGCTACCTCGCGCGCGAAGCGCGCGTGGGACAGAGCCCCATACTCATAGAATATGGTCAACCTCTTTTCTTTTGGTTGTCATGTGACTGATCGAGCGTACGTACGTACGTACGCGTCTACAGATTGTACGGGTAGGGTAGGGGAGACTATCAAAGGGAGGGAGGGGTGTCTCAGGCGTGTCTTGGCAAATCCACATCTTTTACATTCGCCATTCACAATATGGTCAATTGACAGCTGTCAAAACAGGATAACCACTGACCAGTACCACATTGCCATATCGAGGGCTCATGTGTCAACTCTTCAAGGTGACGTGATTTATTTGGAAGCTGTCCGCTGACCAGTTGTTTTACTAGATCGCGATCAATGTTCAATCGCGTTTCTAGCTAGTTTGAGAGCACAGGAAAACTGATAATGCACACATCCATTAGAAATCAATATTTTGATCAATTGACAGCTGTGAAAACAGGGTATCCGCTGACCAGTATCACTTGACCGTACCGCGGGCTCAGGTGTTGACCCATCGAGGTCAAGTATTTTTTGAAGTTATCCGCTGACAAGTTACTAGTTTTCAAATGATCGCAGGCTCAAGTTTGCTTTTTTTTCATTCATATGAAATATGTTCTGTTTTTGGGCAGCACAATTAAAATTTTGATTAAAAACTGACCTCGGACCCGAAAATTCAGCCAGCTATTACAGGCAAGACAGTTGCTTTTGACTTTGCTCACCATGGTCACGCGTTGGTCACGCTCTACGTCCCTTTTTTATGCCCTGATTGGTCAAAATTTGAGAGAAGAACTCATGCGGAAAATTTATACAGCATCTTGAATCTTGTTTACTCTGACAGCTGAAGCTGAGAGAGTTTTGTGTCAACTTGTGATGTTTTAAACTGTCTTTTTCCACTGGATGCACAAAATGAAATTCACCTGCTATCAGGAGCCTTCTGTTATTCATGGCTAGTTGGTTTTTGGTTGAGAAATTAATACATCACTTGTCAAAGTCGGGAATCCGATTTCGGATGGCAACGTTTTTGTTTTTCATCTTGCTTGATGCGTAAATATTGAAAAGTCTGAAGCGATACTGGCCTTACTTGATACCTTTCAGGAGCTTCATCTCGAATGGTAAGCCTCAGTAATTATTGTGTTTGATGTTTGTTTTTTATATCTAATTTAAAGAAGTCGAGCGTAGTTTATGCGGCTATGCAGTTTATGCACGTTTGTAAGATTTGAGACAATTTGATCTGACCAAGAATCAGGTAAACTTTATATAAGCTTACACAACTTTAAAAATTCTTTAGACATTTTCTCACCGCAGATAGAAAGAAAACGTTCCAAAGAACATTTAGTTATAATTCTGGCTGTAAAAGAAAGCTTTGACCGNCACCATGGTCACGCGTTGGTCACGCTCTACGTCCCTTTTTTATGCCCTGATTGGTCAAAATTTGAGAGAAGAACTCATGCGGAAAATTTATACAGCATCTTGAATCTTGTTTACTCTGACAGCTGAAGCTGAGAGAGTTTTGTGTCAACTTGTGATGTTTTAAACTGTCTTTTTCCACTGGATGCACAAAATGAAATTCACCTGCTATCAGGAGCCTTCTGTTATTCATGGCTAGTTGGTTTTTGGTTGAGAAATTAATACATCACTTGTCAAAGTCGGGAATCCGATTTCGGATGGCAACGTTTTTGTTTTTCATCTTGCTTGATGCGTAAATATTGAAAAGTCTGAAGCGATACTGGCCTTACTTGATACCTTTCAGGAGCTTCATCTCGAATGGTAAGCCTCAGTAATTATTGTGTTTGATGTTTGTTTTTTATATCTAATTTAAAGAAGTCGAGCGTAGTTTATGCGGCTATGCAGTTTATGCACGTTTGTAAGATTTGAGACAATTTGATCTGACCAAGAATCAGGTAAACTTTATATAAGCTTACACAACTTTAAAAATTCTTTAGACATTTTCTCACCGCAGATAGAAAGAAAACGTTCCAAAGAACATTTAGTTATAATTCTGGCTGTAAAAGAAAGCTTTGACCGATTTTCTTGCCTCGATTTCATCTGTGAAAAAAGTAAATACCAGGCAGGTACAAAAGTCGGACCGGATCAACTCGGACCGCCAGTCCGGGTCGGATCAACTCGGATCGACTCGGACCAACTCGGATCGAATAAAAAAAATAAAAATAAAATAAAATTGGACTCGGATCAACTCAGATCATTAAAAAAAAAAAAACAACTCGAATTATAAAAAGAAACAAAATCAGTCGGTATCACTTAATTTTTTTGTTTTTTTTCTCACGAACTCGTGATTGCCTAAATTAATTTTATTTTTATTAATTTTAATGATACACTAGTGAGCAGCACACATAAATTTCCAGTAAACATTTTCAACTTGGAAGGAGGAGAAACCATGCTCGCCCGGGACAAAGGAAATTTCCATGACCCGGGCAAGAATCGAACTCGCGACCATCCCGGTTCAGTGGTTGGAACGTTCGATAAACATGTGGTATTCGGAGGGTCGTGAGTTCAATTCTCGCCCGGGGTACGAAAATTTTCGTTGTCCCGGGCAAGCATGATTTCTCCTCCTTCCAAGTTGAAAATGTTCATTGGAAGTGTGTGTGTGCTGCTCACTAGTATATCATTAAAATTAATAAAAATAAAATTAATTTATGCAACCACGAGTTCGTGAGAAAAAAACAAAAATGGCGGGTGAAAGTTAAGTGATACCGACGTTAAGTGATACCAGTTTTATTTTGTCTTTATTTTTTTATTCGATCCGAGTTAGTCCGAGTCGATCCGAGTTGATCCGACCCGGACTGGCGGTCCGAGTTGATCCGGTCCGACTTTTGTACCTGCCTGTAAATACCGGGAAGCCGGCTTAAAACATAAACTTAAGCTTTAAGCTTGAAGACTCAGGATTTTTAGAGACACTTTAATATTTGTCTTCGTGAATGAAAAATGTTGTCTCTGTATATGTTTCGCCGAATTATGTTTCCTTTATTGATTGTTGGTAGTCTCTCTTGTAATTTTAATCGCTGTGCCGTTTGTTTTCAGTCTTTCAGCGAACATCGCTTGCAGGAGTACTCAAAATGCCGCGCGTATCAAAGGCTTTTAAAGATTACAGATCGATAAAACCATTAAGTAAAAAATAAACATAATAATTTCTTTATTATGTTTATTATGTTTCTGTTGCAAAATTGTGAAATACTGCATTCTGTCCGAGGTCTGTATGATAAAAACAGTACCTCATAGTACTGTTTCACCTCAGATGCGATGTATAAATGGTATAAAAGGTTGGTTTACACGCAACCAGATTTGTTGGCAAGATTTTGTAAAGTAAACTTGTCGAACGCAAAAAAATTCAACCAGATTTTTTCTCCAAGCCTAATTTAATCTTACGGTGATCAAGAGCCATTATGGCTCTTAAATGTGATCGAAGATGATTGCTATTTTTTGGGTGTACATATGAGGTTATCAACTCGATGTAAGATTTTGTTCACTCTTGGGCTATTTGCAAATTATTTTTCTCTAAAATCACTTAGCCTTTTCTCTCAAAAGTCACATGAATGTGCTATGTGCTCTAAAGTTAACAAATTGTGCAATACAAGTTTATTGTTTGATTTGAATTATAAATAAATTAATGGGAGCCTCGCTTTTAGCCCTGGCTAAATCTATATATTACACTTGTTCCGGGCGTTCAGATAATGGAGATCAAAGTAGAGGCGCGTAATAGAGAGGAAACTTCCCGCCTCTCTGCAGCTTTATGGACTCCTGAAACATGCTTACGCCACACCATGAGTCCACTTGACCATGCAACTTCCTGTTAACTGGCAACAAGCTACTTTATTTCTCCTCATGACTGGGTACGGTATTGCCACAAACAAAAGGCTTCCGATAAATCTATTTTTTTCCGAAGTGTGTACGGTCTTTGCTAGCCTTTTATCATCATTTTGTTCTAAATTTATTCTAGTTTTATTCCGCCATTTATAGCAGTTTAATTTACTTTTTCATCTTTTTACTCGCAATCAAGGTGAGCGTCCTAAGACCCGTGTTAACCTCGCTGTCAGCTGATTTTTCTTGTGCCATCGAATTTTCGAAAAATAAAGAGATAGTACTTTTTTAACATCCTGTTCTAAATTAACAGACACGTCACGTCATTGAGGCATTAACCATCTTATTGTGATATGAAAGGGAAACCTGTAAGATATATTATATGCATAATTAGCTATGACCACCCGACTGCATAAATCAACTCGCTTAAGCACCTAATACTTATTGAATTTCTTTTCCCTTTTTTTCAAGAAAAATAAATGTTTCAGCTCCCGCCAATGTTAAATCTCTTAATTCGTTTAATATCTTCAGCTTGTTTTGCAGGAAAGCTTTCACAAAGAAAGTATAACGCAACCAGATTGCGAAAGCAATTTAACACATCAAAGTAGCTTGACATGATTATATCCCATCCTATTCAACATTTTTTTTCTCATTTCCCTCTTTCTGCGCGTTTCACTTTAAAAAAAGCGCTTCAGTTGATTACTGTTTGCGAAAATCAGTCACATGTTTTATTGTCTAAAAGCAATTCTCACAACCTTAAGGAAGAAAAAATTTGCATGATAAATATGACCTCTTTTCACCGAGTGTTGTTTGTAAACCATTATCAAGTTCAGTAAAAAAGCATTACCGTAGCGAGAGCGGTTTCATGAGTAAGGAAGAAAATGATCAGTCTGCTACGGTCAAAACGATCAAATTATTTATTTAATTTGATCATTTTAAGTTAAAAACGAAAGAATATGGCCTCAATGAAAACAGCACAGATTCTTAAAGTAAATGTCAGTTCAGTATATTAAAAATTGCATTTACGCGGCTAATAAGTACTACACCAAGAGAAAGGAGTAAATATTCGATAGGTTATATATCTGTGAACATGTGAGTTCAAGTCATGATATTTTTTAGGAATTATATCAATGATAACAATAATTTGAAATGAACATATTGTCCATTTCATGGCTTATTCCTTATGACAGCCATGTCAGTATAAATTTCACTGTAAAGCAGATGTACCTTTAGAATGCTGAAAGACCTTCGTGCACATCAAAAATGCAAAAGTGAGAAGTTTCTTGAAAGAGGTCATGCTTCTTGATTTCTTTAAGGCCAAGTTTTAGGCTTATAGCAAGGAAATGTTTCTGGATTTCGTAGATATGTCATCATATCGTAGATCCTATGGTATCATTCAGTGACCGCGTGCGTTGTAACAGCCAGTCTGCAAAGGTAGAGTTACAATGAAAATAGTGAATGTAAACATATGTAACTATAATTGTACTTATATCATACTAGTGTTACCTTTTAAGATGTTCTTTGGAAACATCAGCAATTCCCGTTCTTAATTCTAAAGTGCGTGGTACACCTTTAGGCTCATTTTATTGCCAACGGCAACCGACTGGAACTTAGAGTATAGCAACATTTACATAAAGAACCTTTTACTCGTTTCACCTCATGAATATTATTTGCTTTAGTTCGCGACACTGATAATTAATGAATACAAGTAGACCATAACGTAACGTAGAGTATTTTCATGATTATCCAATTTGATTCGAATTCAGTTATTAATTTACAAATTCAAAACAAGACTTGCTTTCCGAAGTAAGGCCTGGTTCAAACGTCGAACTTAACATGTGCCGAACCTAATACCTATTTAGGTCGACCCAAACTATTAAGTTCGACTGTTGATTCAGACGGTCGAACTTTACATGTGCCGAACCTAATTCGTGGCGAAAAGAAATATCATCCTTACTGCTTAACACAGGGAAATAAACTGAAAAAAGTAAAATTCACCAAGCCTGGAAATTCTTGTTTTGAGTTTTAGTGTGATTTGTGTTCTGTTATAGCCAGCGTAGCTGGCGGTATTGTGTAGTAGTCGAGTGAGATTTGGCGGCGGAGCCGTTGTAATATAGTCGAGTGGGATTTGACTGCGGAGCCGCCTCGTCAACCGCCTCGTCCCTTCTCCCTTTTTTTGGAACACGGCTCCGCCGCCAAAACTTTAATCTCGCACCCACACAATACCGCCAGCTACGCAGGCTAGTTCTGTTATGGCAAGGAGACAGCTGAGGAGATAGTGATCGTGATATTTGGACAAAATAAAGTAACGCCATAAATTTTAAAATACATAACGATTTCTTTATGGGTATAAAGAAAAGCAACTTTTTAGAAGATCGTTTTAATCTGTCCAGTTTCAGTCTAAAAATCTTCAACGTGAATGCTGGTAATCGTCGTTACGCTTCTGTGAGTTCTGTCCGCAAACGAGCCAAAACCAACTAAATAGCCAGTCAGAAGCTCGGTTATATTGAAAAATACGCTAACATAATTTATGCCGGTTCGGCACATGTGAACTTCGACGTGTGAATCGAAGTCGATCTTTTGCCGTTCTATTCGACAAGCTCAGTCGAAAAGAACGGCAGAGTCGACCCAAATACAAAAGTGCCGTTCCTTACTGATTAATACGTCGAACTTTACATGTGCCGAACGTATTAATTAGGTTCGGAACATGTAAAGTTCAACGTTTGAACCGCGGGCCAATGGTAATATATATAGTAGTAATATATAGTTTCCAATGATAACCTACTTGCAAAGTGGTTTCATCGCCATGCGACAATGTCTTTCTTCAGTTTATACGATTTTTTTTTATTGAATGTTATCACTCGCTGCCCAATGATATCGACCCTACTGAATCACCTGTCACAATACGCATTAAAAGCTGAAATATTGTGAAATACTCAACTATATAATTATAGCGCAGACTCTCGAGAACGCATTGCACAAGCGAAAATTTTAATTCTAGCTTCTTTGTTTATTTCCTCATTTTTTTTCTGACGATACTCTTAGCAAGAGGTATAAACGTCTCCGAAACAATGATAGTATAACTTTGAAAAAACAACCTTTAATGTGTTTTAATTTATGATTAGAAAATCCGGTATCACTGACAAAACTTAGTTCCAAACCTCACTATATTTTAATCATTGTGACGACAAATTTAAATTTTAGCTTCATTTGCTACTGATGTACTCAATTGTGAAATTCAGCTAATCTATTTGACTATAACTGTGAATATGAATTAGAGGCGCAAAAATAGATACAGCACCTGCGAAGGAACCTGCAACGTCCAACGGAATGAATCTCTTCCGATTCAGATGCACTCGCAACTTCCCAAGCAACAAGTACTTTAGGGTTCAAATGTTCCTAATATCGTATAGCTTTCGCGAAACAAGTTTTAACAAAGGTCACCATTTTGATAAGGGAGGTTTTAGGCCTTGGAAATTCGGTGTTAAATGAATAAACAGCGAAAACTGCGTGAAACATCTAACGATGGATACCTGGCTTCATTGAAATATTTAACGGAGCTCACATTATGAATAATTACATACCAACATTTAGCAATTCCTGTCTTGTGTCTCCGTGTTCGATCTGTGTGATATTTTCAAGCTAAAAGCGTTACAATCCTTTTTTTAATAACGTTAAACTGTCTGCTAAGAGCTTTCTGCAGAACCAGCAGTTATTAACCACGGTTTATAAATTTTTGATAGGCGGTAATGTCCTAAAATATACACTACTTTTATAGTTTTGGGAATCAGAACAATCGTAGCATTGTTAGTCCTACATTGGCCGAGATAGCTGAGGAAATTTTCAAACTAAAAACAATCCTTGAATTTGTAAACAATAGAAACGGACATCCTCTTATCGTGGTTTTTTTCAGAAGGTAATAGCATTTAAACAATGTATTTTTTTCTTGCTTCCATTTATAGTAAAATTTTTGAGTTCGGTAACTGAACAATGTAAACGAAACAGCTCGATCGCCCAGGCCAGGCCAGGCCTGGCCGATTTACTGTTGTCAAAAGCTCCTGTCCGATTGTAGTCAGTTCATTAGTGGATAGTCTATTTTTTTTGTCTTAATTCCCTGACAAACTTGTTGCCAGCTTCAAACCAGTTGAATTGACTGGGGTGGTCCCTGCTCCCTGGCTCAGTGGACTGGGGTTAATTTTTTCAGTATTAGCAAATTTGTTCGACCTGCGATTAGCAACCTTTAATGTAAAATTTGTCTTCAAAAGGAGTCTAAAAACACTGCTGCCTCTCACGCATATTTTGGGGCCGTAGGGAGCGCTGCCGGGGATCAACTCTAACAGTCATATACTAGGGGCCAATCCGCTCTGGATAGCCTGTAACCAATTAAGCCAATAAGGAAAACTGAAAAGGTACCCAGTAAAACCTCGATAACTTGAACCTGGATAACTCAAATTCCCTGCTGATTCGAGCTAAATTTTCTCTCCCTTGATCAAAATTTCACTGAAATTTATACCGGCCGATAACTCAAATTCCCCGCTTAAACTCGAACTGTTTTTTGTTTCCCTTTAGAGTTCGAGTTACCGGGATTCTACTGTACTGCAATTAAATCGATCGAAGTAATTGTAGTTCGATGAACTTTTTAGTACTAGACAATATTGACCTTTTATTGGCCAGTTAAGATGGCTTGAGTCTTATTATCCACTTTTTTTTCTTGAACTGTGACGCCATGTCGATTTAGAGTTTTCTCAGCGACTTTATGCGGAGTTATTTGTCGACTAAATTTACTAAATTTATCTTCTAAAAAAGAATTTGTTTTTTCATGTTCACTGGTACCGTGTCACCCACTAGTTTACATAGTGACTCTCAACAAGGAGAGAAAAAAAACAACAACAAAAACAAAACAGAGTTATGAATCGACTATTCTCCAACTGGCCGCGGACCAAATTAACCAGCTGTAAGAATGACCGAGGAGTTGAAAGAATTTGGGAGTAGCAAGAACAACCTTTGGCCAGGGAGGGATTTTACACTCAGGAAGACTGGGTTGAATCTAGCGCCCCTAAGAGCTAGCCAATCGGCTATGCTGCCCATTTGTGCTGCCGTGCCACCCCCTTTAATTCAGGGTGTGGGATCGGCTATGTGCAGCTCACCACGTACCTAACGAGATCGTGGGCGCTATTGCTGTACCCCATTTTGCAAAGCTAATGAAACAGTTCTATCTTGAATGCCAACAACAGCTTTCAGGCTCCTTTGAACGTAATTATCGGGACAGCTGACGGTTAACACCCATTGAGACCCTCTTTAGTTTACTAAATTAACTATCAGCATATTCATTGTATGAATCAAGCAATGTATATATATTAATGGGATGACCAGAGGTTTCATTGCCAAAATTTTCCTCCATAATAAAGGTTAGTAAGGGACTGACCGGATTGTGGGAGGGGGGGGGGGGGGGTTCCCTTTCAGATACCGGAACATGCGGCACACAATCTCACAACACCCAATCCTCTCTTATTTTATATAAATAAATACATTATAAAAAAATTATTCAAAAAAAAAAAAATGTATTAATTAGGGGGGGGTGGGTGGTGTTTTTTCGTTAGCATTTTTTCGCGCAGGGGGTGGGGGGGGGGGGGGGGGGGGGGGGGGGGGGGGGGGGGGGGGGGGGGGTGAAAAAGTTTCGGTGCATGAATTTTTTTTAAGCCCACTTCTCTGCAAAAAGCACAAGCACAAGCTTTGCACGATTTTTTTCCCACACATGTCTTCTTTTGTAACTAATCTGCGATTTACTTAAGATTTATATGATAATACAATGTCTAAGAGAATCATATCACTTATTATTGTTTACCACTTGGTTCCTTTTTGCCGTTTGTCTGTTTAACTTTTTTAAAATTTGTTTCGGCACATGAGCCGAAGAAATTTTGACGTCTTCTGGATCTATTACCGAAAAGACCTGCTCAAGGCACAAAAGAATATTTATATTTATATGTGTAATTCAACGAACAGAAAAAAAATCGGCAAACTTGTCTCGTAGCACGCTTCCCCTAGCAGATTGTAACTGTTACCGAGTTTAGGCATTTTCCCTCTCACCTGAAGCTGCTCTTCTTTCCTTCTTTTTCTTAACTTGATTCTTGTAAACAGTTTCTTCAAAACTTTTACTTCACAACTGCTTTGAAGTTCATTTTTGTTGCTATTATTGCTTTTGTTAAAAATTTTTTTAAAGGCATTTTTCAAGTTCCCCAAAATTACTTTGTCTTGATACTACTTGTAAACATTTGCTGCTAACGTTTTTTCGAGGCCATCCCTTTCTCCATCCGAAATATAAATCTCGCAAACATTTTCAAAACTGAGCGCCACACCAATAGATCATAGACAAAGACCACTCATTGAGGACTTTGTATTTTATGGAAAGGCAATAAGAAAAGTCCTGAATGACAATCTTTCGGGCCTCTTTAAAAAGAAAAGTAAACAGAATAAGACAAAACAAATCCGAATTAAGAATTTAAATTCCCTTAATTATCTTTAGACATTGTTTTATGTTATCGTTCCCCCCTTATCCCATACTTTTAATAACCTTAGATGCTATGCATGTGGCTTTCTCTGCAAGAATTTTTTTTACGTATCACCGCTCGCAGGATTTGTTTTTAGACAAGTTTCCCTTGCAGGAATTTTTTTGGGGGAATTGACACCCCACCTCCGGTTATTTATAATGGTCCATCCCTAACCTCGTGGCAAAAAAAGCTGTTTTGTTATGTATTCTAATTTTGTTCTTAGCTTAGCTTGTAAATCCTCAATCTAGAGATTGGCAAGCAATTATAACGACCATTATTTTTTAACAACAAACAATGAAAATGTTGCAGCTCAGTATCACAGGGAAGTTCCGGAAAAGCTTAAACGCTTCAAGACGAAAAATAGGTCAGAGTAGGCTTTCGACCCGCACAGGAGTTTGTTACATCGATTTTCACAATTTCAGGCTTAAAATGTAAACTCAAATGGTATATCAGTCATGGTTTCTTTGGTAATATTTTCTCTAGCCAGGTTAAAAGATTATTAGTAATTTACATTTAGCACCTCATCGCAATTCATGAACCATGTTCAAAACCTTAAGAAAAAACCCCAGGTTGACACTAACTGGCCGGTATATCGAACTTACCTCCAGTACGACATAAACACGATTAAGATGATGTAGTACAACTTCGACTTCTTTTCGCAAGGCATTAAACAAAATTAATAAATATAACTCTTTGTCGTCGTTTGCATATTCGCTATGTCATCATTTACAACAGGTGATATCTAAACACTGATCATGAATAAGTAAAGATATCAGTTATGCTGTATTTATTTTGAGTATCTCTTTTTACAAGACTTGCTTTGACACTTTTCACCACCCTTTTTCTACTAACAATGAAGTGATATTTTCAGCATAACAATTAACGGTTGGCGGAGGAGAATTTTTCCTTAATTATTCCCCCTTGAAATCTTGTAATCTAAAGCATTTATTCATTTATTCCAACCACATCTTCATTATCATGCAAATATATAAACAGCTTGCCTCGCATACACCAACGGAAAGAGGAATTATTTAAAGACTGAATTACCCATCATAAGGTGCAAAAGAAACCTATATTTTGTCATCGAAGTGAATAAACTTTTAACGAAGTTTGTAAGGACCACTGTTACTCACGGTGATAGTAGACATTCATCACAAACCCTCGCTTGTAATTAATCTTCGTTGCCAGAAATCGAACAGTGGGAGTCTAAAAATCCTGTTACCAGCGGGGGTTTTAAAAACCATAGCAGCTACACAAATAAGGAAAAGCACGTGACTAAGACGGAAGAGCATAAAAAAAACATCACTAAATCCGCCTCTCTCCGCTGAGCTAGTGGCGTGCACTTTTTTTACAAATGAAGCTAAAACTGAGTATACGTTTTACCTAAAGTTTGACTTTCTTTTATTTTACAGTTTGGTTCTTTTACGCATAGGTGCAGTGAATCGGCTGATGCAAGTTTTAATTTTTGTCTTAGAGCGCAAAAAGCCCGGCCTGCTGGGAAATAAATTACTATGGCAGGAAAAGAACAGGAACCCCTCAAGATTTTGACAAAATGGTCCAAATTATACTAGAAGCTTGAAGAGCTTTTTTATATGACTGTTTGTTCCTTTTTGTTACAACTTGCAGTTGGCTTCTTTCCGTGTTCATTAAAGGGCATGGAAGAGGTCTGAATTTTTTTCACAGCCTCCAAACGTTTAAATGCCTCTTAGACCCCTCAACAAACGTTTAATTCTTTGTTCTTCCTGCAGCTCCATCTCTGTAGGTGTTGCGATCATGACTCTCTAAATTCCCGCACCTTAATTATCGACCGCTCTTACTTGAAGAGGCCTCTTCAGTCCCAGCGCTTTTATGAGCATTTTGCATTCTTCCCGGAACGTAGCATTCATGTACCCGAATATCAGAGGGTTGATAATACTGCTTAACCCAACTAGGTACGTGGCAAAAAAGTAGGCTTGCCTAGGAAGATCAAATGCTCCATTCGCTGTATCTATAGCTGTGATGATATAAAGAGGGGTCCAGCATACAAAGAAAGCAAAAATAATAGCAAACAATGTTTTTGTCATCAAAATATCGTCAAGTGATAGCCTATTGCTTGATACAGAAGTGACTGTCATATCTGGCACATTGCCAAGGCGATGGACTTTGGTTTCCATGGCAATAGAATCGTTCGTGTTGCGGCGGAGGTCTGTTCTGAGGGTGTGCACCATTTTTGAGTGCTTTTTGACGGAGTTGTATATTCGAAAATAGCAAAAAGCGACGATTACCATGGGTAAGATTGTAAAGAAAACAATTCTATAAATTGATTGTTTTTCTCTAGAATTTTCGATGGCATAAAAACAGATCATCATTCCTGGATGAAAAGTGAAAGTATGGCCTCTTAGAAGGTAAGGCAACGGAGCAATGATTGCACAAAGTGACACGATGATGATTGACAGCAAGGTATACTTCCTTACGAAAAGCTTCGAATAAATCCGAGGACGCAGTACCCGAACGTAGCGATTGATAGCCGTCAGTGGGAACATAAGTTGAGCGATGTAAGCTAGCACGACGCAACAGAATGCTTGAAATTGACAAGCGGACCAAGAGTACCTCCACTCTCCGTAAATGCTGACATCACACATAAACGGCATCACCAGCCCAGCCGTGAGGAGAT